CCCATTAACAATTATTTTTTAAAAAAAAATCAAAGCTCTATTGGAAAAGAGAAAAAATTATATTTATTTCAATTCACATTATTTAGTTTTTTTTTTAAAGGTGTGGTAGTTATATTTTTTTTAATTTTAAAATATTTAAAATTTTTTTTATTTTTTTTAAAAAATAAATATCAGCAACTTATCTTTATATTTTATCATAAACAAATATATTCAATTTTTTTTATTATTATCAATATCCACATAGTTTTTAGACAGAAAATATTGTAATTGAATTGTAATTGTATGATAATATTTTTCTTTATAAACATTTAATCATTCAAACATCTATAATAATATTTTTAAAGATTAAAATAGTTTAAAATAAAAAAAAAAAATCAAATCAAATATATAATTAAATAGATATGCACCCAAATAAATAACACACACCAAAAAAAAGACATAAAATAAACAAACACATACATACAATACACACTATATTTAATTTATTTTTAATTTTTTATTCCAAAAAGATCATAATTAAACAAACAAATAAAATAAAATAAAAAAGAAAATAAAAATAAAATAAAATAAAATAAAAATATTTATTAGTTTAAATAATATAGTATCACATTAAAATATAAAATTTAATATTTTATAATTTTTAAATATTAAAACAATCAATCAAACTTTTTATTATTAATCATTTATTTATTGTGTCTTTTCTTTTTTATAATTGTGTTTTTATAAAAAATTATTGTTTTTAAAATAAATAGAACACTATAATCAAAACCAAGTGTATTTTAGTTGTTATAATAAAGTATTATAGTTTTTGTAATATTAAAATTTATATTTTTTTATTTTATTTTTTTTCAAAATAATAATAATAATAATAATAATAATAATAATAATAATAATAATAATAATAATAATAATAATAATAATAATAATAATAATAATAATAATAATAATCTAATAATAATTAATTAATATTAATATAATTATTTTCTTTATTATAGTAAATTTAGAAATTGTACATTTAGAAAAGAAAAAAAAGAAAGGTCAAATAGATTATAATAATAGAATAAAATGGCTACAGATAATGATACATTAAACGATGTTTTAAGTTACATTACCGATGTATTGTTATGCTTATCAATTGTTGGTTCATTCTTTACAGTTTTCACATTTATGGTTTTTTATAAACTTAGAACATATCCAATTCGTTTAATTATATATTTATGTTTGTCAATTCTATTTGCGCAATTCTTTTTCGAAATTTCATTCAGATCATCAGAAAATCTTTTCTGTTTACCATCAGGTATTCTTCTTCATTATTTCTTCTTGGCTGATTTCGTATGGACTTTTTGTGTAGCCTTTAATTTCTATCAAATGATTGTAAAGAGAAACAGAGATGCCGAATCACTCGAAAAATATTACCATTTGGCTTCTTGGGGTATTCCATTACTTGTTGTAGTATTTTGTGCTGGTTTTGAAAAATATATTAATAGAGGTGGATTGTAAGTATCATTTTATTATTTAAATTATTTAAAACTTTTATTAATGTTAATATTTTATTATAGTTGTTATTTAGAAAATGATTTACCAGTATTCTTAGGTTTCTTTGTTCCAGGTTTATTAGTTGTTTGTGCTAATGCAGTTATTTTCTTCTTTATTGCTAGAGAAATTCATGATACTTTAAAGAATGCACCAAGAACAGATAAAAAAGAAAAATCAAAAGAATTTAGAGTATATTTTTCAATTTTTGTTTCAATTGGTTTAAGTTGGATTTTTGGTTTCATCATGACTTTCTTCAATTCTGATAGTGTTTTAGGTTATATATTTTTAATTTTATTCTCTGTAACAACTCCATTACAAGTAAGTTTATATAAAACAACAATATTTTGGTTAAAGAAACTTATATTAACTTTTTTTATTTTCAATTATTAGGGTTTCTTAATCTTTGTTTCATATTGTGTTAACGATAAAGTATTAGCTCATTATGCAAGAGGTTTCAAATCAATTGGTATTCCAATCTTCTCACGTTGGGAAAATTTGGATGGAACTTCCACTCGTCAAACTTCCACTACTGGTCCTAATTCTGATAACACAGATAAATCAGATATGTCAAATAATTTATCATCCGATTCATCTATCTCCATCAAAGCTCCAAACAGTTAATCAACAAAAAACAATAAAGATTAAAAAAATTGAAATAAATAATAATAATAATAATAATAATAATAATAATAATAATAATAATAGTAATAGTAATAGTAATAGTAATAATAATAGTAAAAATATAAATATAAAAGTAATAATAGTTTCGAAAATTTAAAAATATAATAGTTTTATTATAAAAATATATAAAAACTTTAAAAAAAAAAAAATAAAAAAAAAATAAAATAAGATGTATATTTTAATTTATAAATAAACTTCAAGACATAAACCCTTAAAATTTTTTTATATATAGTTTAAATTAATGAAAAGATATAATAAAAAAGAAAGTTTTATTTAATTATTTTTAAAACAACTAGTAAACCAGAAATTTTTAGTGGCATCTAACACCTTCTTGTCCAACAATTTTAAAGATAATATCACCGCTTAACCATCTGTTATCTAATTTGATTGAAAAATAATAGTCATTTGGGGATACTAAACATCTACTAATTACAAAGCCAGTTTGTCTTTTTTCACCTTCACAATTTTCTTTTGTAGCAATTTCTTGTTTGGCATGGGAATAGAAGACAATGTTTTCTTCCATACCTTCACTTGTAAAGGAAACATTTAGTCTTTCGAGATCGAATGGGCCTCTAACAATTCTATATCTAACAAATTCATCTTTGGCAAGGGACATTTTATAGTTGATTGCAGAACCATGATCTAAAACTAACCATTCGTTCATATACTTTTGTAATTCATAACTATTGGAGGAGTAGCTAATTATTAATAAAATAAAAATTGTAATAAGTTTTTTATAGTACATTTTTATATTAGTATGTTTTTTTGTTTATGTTTAATTAGATTTAATGTTTTAATTGAATAAGAATTTTTTTTTTGTCCTCTATTTATACCCCAAAAAACAAAAAAAAAAATAAATAAAGACCCCAAAAAACAAAAAAAAAAAAAAAATTTTTTTATTTGTTTTTTTAGGATAATGATAAATGGGGTGTTGTTATGTTCACCAGTGGATAACTCCTTTTTTTTATATTACAAAAATGAAAATTATTATAATATTAAAAGAATACGAGCATTTTTTTTATAATTTATTCATATATGGGAGTAGATATAATTATTATACAAATTTGGTAAACTTAAAAATTTAAGTTATTTAAATTTATTTATTATAATTATTATAAATATTATTTTTATTATTATTTTTATATTTATTATTATATTTAGAAATGTTATTTTTAGAAATGTTATTTTTAAAAATTTAAGTTATTTAAATTTATTTATTATAATTATAATAATTATAATAAATATTATTTTTATTATTATTTTTATATTTAGAAATGTTATTTTTAGAAATGTCATTTTTAGAAATGTTATTATTAGAAATACTTTTTTTTTTTATTTAATTTAATTTTGATTGAATTTTTTCTTTTATAATTAAATGTAATTGTAATTTTTGATCTTTAAGTGTTTCAGGAATTGGAATTGTGAATTGAGTTCTGTAATCTATAACCATAATTCTTTGTAAATGTTCAAAATGTAAAAGTATTCCGTCATGGGTGATTTCACAGGATTTTATATTTTCGAAAGTAGCAGCCCATTTAAATGAGTAGTTGTTTTTGACATGGATGATTCTATGGTTGCTTATTAATGTTATGTTTTTACCATGATGGAAGTGGATGAGATAGGTGTCAGTATCTTTAAATTTGCCTTTGAAAGTAGTTTCTAAAATATATTGACCTTCACTTTGTTCGTAATTAAATTCCACTAAGAGATTATCTGTACCAAAGCATCTGGGTGGACGAATTCTGGTTGTATCTTTAAAGAGACCAGTTGTGTTTCTAATTCCTTCAGTGGTAAGAGTGGCTAAATCGAAAACACCCACTACAGGTTTAACACCAACACCAACTACACCTTGAACTACACCTTTAGCAAAACCTTGAACGCCACTGTTAATAGCACCTTCATATGGCTTAACTACTACACCACTTACACCTTCGACAATACCTCTTCCTAAACCTCTAATACCATATGCAATACCATCACCAATATGTTTTGCTTTCTTTTGACGTGAACGTTGACGATATCTTAGATATTGATCATCAAATGATAGGACAGCAATACCTTTACCGACAGTATTTGAAAGTTTTGAAAGAGTATTAAATAGACCATATACTGAATTCTTTAATAAACTTATGCTTCCTTTTGCTAAGCCTTTACCAAAATCTTTAGGGGATGTAATTAAACCTAGGGCAGGTTCATAGAAAAAGTCTTTTACACCAGCAGCCAAGTGATTAAATAAACCGACTGGGTTACCTATATTATCAGAAGATCCCAAAACTTTATAGAGTTGATTTAGCGACTGCATTGTATAATGGGTCTTGATTCTATTGGCAAAAGAACGCTCTGAAAGGAAAGGATGCTCTAAGATTAAAGCATTTAGAGAAAGTGTTGTTCTATCTAAACCAAAACTAACACCCAATACTTCTAGTAATACACCTATCATATCGGAGTTTGAATGACCAACAAAACCATCTCTGACAAATGAAAACGATAATATTACTTTAATTGGATTTAATAGTAAAAGTTTAATATAAATCATTGATGATTTCTTTTTGTTCTTTTTCAATGAGGATTCATTCATTTGAATATTTGATGAGTTTTTTAATTCGTTTGCATTTGGTGCTAATAGTTGATTCATATTGCTAATGTTAGTTGTTGAGTTTATATTATTTTGATCAGAAATATTAAATGGTTCAATAAACTGTTGGTCATTATTATAGTTAAATATTGGTGAGTTTAATATTGGTAAGTTACTATCATCTTGAATAATTTGAACATTGTGTTGTTGTTGTTGTTGTTGTTGTGGCTGATTATTATTAGTATTTGATTGTTGATAAGTTAGTTTGTTCTTTTCTTTATGTTTCTTAAAATTTTTATCTAATTCCTTAATCAATTGAACCATTTCTATGATTGAAGCTAAAATACTATCATCCAACATTAAATTTACCTCTTGAATTAATAAGGATAATAATTCAAAATATTTCAAACCCTTTTTTTCTTCATTTTTGATAAAGCTGAAATGTAGGAATGGCTTTGGATCCTGTAATGAATTATTTGAATTGTTGACATGATAAAATAATACTGGGAAATCAGTGTTCTTTAATTGATTATCGATTTGCATATTTGTAATGATAAGTTCTAATCTAGAAAAGATATTGGACAGCGAGAAATTTACAGAGATATCGTTTAGTGAAAGATAAATTAGTTCTTTTGGGTTTTGATCGATTAAAGAGACACCAATTCTTGGGAGTGATAGTTGAAGGTCTAATTTACATTTTTCCATAGTATTAGAAATTTCTGATGAATCGTCTGGTGGTTTTTCATATGAGACAACCAATACTCTAGTTGGGCCATCTACTTTCATATATGAATAAACTGTATTGGCACCAATTTTCACAGGTTTAAAGTTTTTGATCTTTAAAATATTACAATTTAATATTGATGCTGGAGCTTCGCTGTTTGAACCCCAAATTTCTACTTTCAAAATTTTGGTTCCAGTTAATTGATCCCAAATATAGTTTGTAGATTGATTTGATGGAAGTGTATCAATAATATTACAACCTGATTGATAGAATCTAATTGCTCTTGGGGTTTGATTTTCAATTCTAAATGGTGGAAATTCTTTATCTTCATTATAGATATGAATTGAGGTATGGGTATTGTTATTATCTCTAATGTCTACACGAGCTAAATATGGCTTATGATTTGAGGAAGAGTTCCTCATTTTAATGGTTAGGTCGGCTAAATCATCAATTGCAAATGAGCCACTCCAGTCATAATTGTCATCATCGAATTTGATTTGAATAAGTTTCTCTGCATACCTATTTGGCCAATGGAATGGTTTTGACTCGCCAGATTCAATGGATTCGATTCTGCTCTGGCCTTCTTGACGATATAGTATGGTTTTATCACTTGAGTTTACCAAAATATATTGAAAATTTATTGTAACCATTTTGGTTCTTTGTAATTTATTCTTACCCAAGCTAATGGAGGCACGGAAATTAAACTCTCTGTAGTCATCACTATTTCCATTTGCTGAGGCGTTACAATATATAATACCGTTGTTGGTACCGACGGTTTCTAATGAAAAGATATTTGACCACTCTGAATTTGGAACTTTGATGTATAATAGATCGCTACTATAGAGGATCATCATTGTATCAATAGCACAGTCTTTTTTAGCATGGTGGTTTTTACCGTCCCTGTTTTGTTGTTCTATCTTTTGAGAGTTCTTTGAACGAGCAATCATTTGAGGGATACTAGATTCTTTATCCATAGACATTAGTAATGGTATGAAATTTGGTTTTTCGAATACCATAGGTAAACCAGTTTTGTTTATGATCCAATAAACTGAATAAAGGCTAAGCTTTCTTATACCTTCAATTTCTTCACGATTACCAATCATTATGTTTAATGGTTTCATAACCTTGTTTGGATCTTCTAATTTAATTTTGGATTTAATGATGGGTTTGGCACCTTTATCGCAATCTACTAATAAATGACGTTGACCAACAAAACCTGGAATACCTGATATTTTTATATAAACACTAACACGTGGATCTTGAGTATAAAATGGTATCTCTTCGCATGATTCTAATGAGGCAGTTTCTAATGGAATATCACCATCGTATAAGGTAATTTGAATTTTGCATGGTAGTAAATTTTCGATGACTAATGGCGAAACAATTTTAATAATATTTTGATCATTAATATTATTTAAAGTGGTTATATTATTGGTAGTGGCAATTGCTGGTGACGATGGATTATTTGGAGAATTGTTACCACTTGTATTGGTATTTAATGAGGCTGTTGATCTCAATAGTTTATCTTTATCATTTCTTAAATTGATTTCGTGTGGTATTAAGTTTGATAAGGTTTGTTCAAAATCTTTAGATTTGTTGTTATTTGAGTTAATGGTTTTTAAAGACTCATTATTACTATTTAATAATACTAATTTAATACTGTTATTGTTATTACTAGTCATTGGGTAGGAGGGGGACTGAACAAAATAGGAGTTTGAGGATTTTGGAATAATTTTTGGACATGTTAATATTTTAAATAGAGAATGAATATCATTATCTTCTAATGGTACATTGTCAGAGAAAGAGTTTTGATGTTTATATTCTATACCATCCCCAACTGGTAGGATTGAAAGGTATTTACTACAATTAATATATTGCAAAGGAACGGGTAACTCTTCGTCTGGGAACAAAATTTTAACGGTATCTCTATGGTGGTTGTTATTATTACTAATAAATTTAACTTCGATATTCATCTTTGTAGTGTTCTTAATTAGAACATTGGATCTAATTGTTATTTCTTTGCTACCATCTTCATTCCAACCTACTTCAAATATAAGTTTTTTACCACCAACTTTTATTAATCTATAACCTACTCTACCAATTGGAATTGGATTTGATGACGAGGAAGATGATGATGCATTATTAATTTGATTGGTTTTACCATTTTTGTTGTGATTTGAAAGTTTGATGGTAATATGAGGACCTTGATCTAATGATTCATCTTTAAAACCTTTGAAATCTCTATTCTTTTTTACAGATAATAATGATTTTGAATTTTCGATTTGAATGGGTTGTTTTTGATCGTTTTCTAAAAAGAAGCTTGCTTGTTTCTTTTGTTCAGGAACTTTAATAGTATATTCTAAATTGATACCGCTCTTATTAATGATCCAATATGGATGGAATGATGATGTTAGCTTTCTAATTGAAATGGTTTGTAATAATGGTGATGTTTTGGAAGTATATTTTTGTTGAGGAGTTTGTAAACTATTTAGTTGTGGCTGTGGTAATATTTGTTGTTGTAATAATGGTGATACATTAAGGCTTTGTCTATTACCAGCAGAATTAAAGCTACTGATCATGTTTGGTGAGGCAAAAGTAGAGTTTAAGGGATTAGGTGAGTTTGAACCTGATCTAATTCTGTTAATACTGGCACTAGTTGAGCTTAATGTGTTGGTGTTGGTTTGTGGAATAAATGATGTTGCTGAAATGGGTAAAATAATTTCTGGAGATAAACCACCATTATTGTTAAGGCTGTTGAAGAAAAATGGACTATCTCTGCCACTGATATCATTATCATTACCATTAACACCTAAAACGGTTAAAGGACTGTTGTTAGCAGATCTTTGATGTGGTGAGAAAATTCTTTTGTTAGCTACAACATTAGGTGGGGTGGTTTGATTTGAAACCGCTAAGAAGGATGAGTTTGATAATTGGAATGTAGATTGTTCGGGTTTGCTCTTGAATAGACCTGAAATAATTGGCAAAGTAGTCTTTAGATCATATTGAATGCTATGATAGGTTGATAGTAGTGAATGAGCAAAACCGTAGGTAGCATTGATGTTTAAATACTGATCAGAGTTTACTTGAATTGCTGTTAAAGGTCCTTTACCACGATATGACTTAACAAGTTTGAAATGGAAATTCCAATTTTCAATTAATGGCTCAAATGCCATTTTGTTGATATTGAAATAGTCGATCAATACTTTGGAGTCTACATTCATTTGTAAACTTTCACCAATGGTACCTTCCATCAAGAAATCGATACGGAAAAATGATAAATCAATGACTGGTAAGTTTTGATCCATATAGTCATTGACCAGAGTGATTCCAAACTGAGGTGCATTAAATCTAACGTTTAATACATTATTAACCTTCTTTTCTAATCTCTTTAACTCTTTCTCTTTTTCAATAGCCAATGGAGATTTGCCTTTCTGTTGTTTCTTTTTACTTGAAAGTTTTGGGAACTCTTTTTTTAATTGACCTGCTATTAATGCCAATAGTAATGTATCGTGATATGATAGGAAAAGATTAAATGGATCAATCGATGCGGATACATCAATTAATAAGCTACTCTTTTCGCTTGGAATGGTTGATTTTATTAACAGTAAGCTACAGTTGAAATCCAAATTTATTGGATCAAGTAGTGATGCTGCTCTTGAGCTTGAAACATTAGCAATAGAATGTCTAAATGAAAACATTTGGAAATTTTGAATGGAACCACCAATAATTCTACTGCCACCAGCCATGGTTTCTTTAAAGGTGGCATCAACAGAGAATTTAGCAATAACTAGATTTGATACTTCAGAGTTTGGATTTTCGACCAAAAGAATTTTTAATTTATTAATATTTGCTTTCAAATCAATATTCTTCTTTTTGCTTGGTAAAGCAAGAGTGTCAGATGGAGAGTTTGATGGTTGTACTGCAGTTGGTTTCTTTTTAAAAATTGTTTTAATTTCTTCTTTTACTTTTGAGTATGGTTCAAGGAAGAAACTACCCATCATATAAACAATTGTTGGTGATATATATAATCTTGGTCTATCGATTTTAGCATCGATATCTAAACGGTTTAAAACTTTATCTAAAATAATAGATGCAGAAATCAAAGGTTCATTAGAGTTTGATGCATTGTTCTCAAAACCTGAAGTTGAGTCTTTTAATGGACCTTCAAAAGTGGTGATATTCTTACTGCAGAATAAATCAATAAATTTAGAATCGCTATTTACTCTTGTGTCTGATAGTCTAATTGATTTTAAGAAACATTTAATATTTGTCTTAGTTGAGCCTAAAATATGAATATTTGATCCTAAATCGTTCATTTGTAAAGTTGCCAATTGATCCTCCATTTCTAAACCATGGTTTAAGAGCATTGAGAATCTTAATTCCGACAATTGTATATAAATTTCTGTTTTAATTTCAATAACTTTATCATTGATTATAATTTTCTTTTTCTTTTTGTTGCTGGTGCCACTGGAGTTTGATTTCTTTGCTAAGAGAATAGGTTCTAAATATTTCTTATATGTTGACATATAGTTGATTAAGATATTTAATAGCAATTGATAACCGTGTAAACTTATTTGGAAACTGACAGATTTGCAATGTATATCAACTTTTTGAATTGGAATATCAGAAACATCTTGAATATTTGAAAGTTCTTGGAAATCATCAACAATATCAATATTGACTACAAAATTAATATCTTCCAATAGGTGAGTTCTGGAGATGCACTCATCATTGTATGCATCAGAAAATACCAGGTCATGATGTTCTGCTATCATACTGTCGTCTAATGTTTGAACTATATCTACAAATAGATTTGATAGTTGAATTTCCATACTTTCATAGTTTAATTCGATACCTTTGGTGTTTTTGAAATAAAATAAATTTTCAATATGAACTTTTCCAAGATCAATTAAAATAGCATCATTGCCTAGTGTAATAATAATTTGAGGACTTTCAATATTAACCACTAATTTGATTTTAATTTGTTTCTTTTGCTGATTGTGGTTATTACTACCTGTCAATGATTTATTTTCTATTGTTGTTGATGTTGTGGCTTCTTCTTCGTTTAGTTTGTCGGAGCTATTGTTATGTTTCATAAATGGAATAACAATTGAGTTTTCTTTTTTAAATATTCTATTAATTTGTGGTTGACGGCTACCAATGATTGGTGCTTGATTATTAATGAAATCATTACCACCATCACTGGATTTTATACTAGGATTATAGTCCATTGGTTCCAATGTTGAGGTTGATAATGATAATGGTGTCATTACGAGTGGTGATGATAATTTAAGTTGATTGTCTTGGAGTTCTTGTTTTATTTTCTTTTGTTCAAATACATGGTTGATTATTGGTGTAACAAATTCTAAAATTGAAGATAGGAATTTTAGTGATAGTGTAATTTGGATTTGTCTAAGGGTTAAATTTAACTCGGAATCAAACGGGTGAACTTTATCTTTAGATGATACAGGTTTATGTTTGAATAGCGATTGGCTATAGACCTGTTCTGCGGTAGTTGAAATTGTCGAAAAGTTGACTTCTAATGTATTGGTAACTGAATTGTCTTTTAAAGAAATAACCTGTTCATAAACATTTGGATCGTTGATAATTGCATCGGTGGAAAGGTTTGGAGAAAGCTGGTAGGATTGGTTAAAGAATAAATATAGCTTACCAATTGAAACAATTGTTTGCTTATAGTTATTAAAACCTATATCTGATTTGAAATGGGTATCTTTAATATAAAACAAAGCACCTATTTCTTCCATGTATAAACGAATTGCTCCAATATTTAAATTTAACTTTAATTTCATTCTATTTAACCAATTAAAACTGGGTGTTTTGGTTTGGAGTGGTTGCTGATCTATAAATTCTTGTTGCTTTTGTTGTTGCTCTAAAATATGTTGTTGGAAATGGGATTCTAACTGTTTCTTTAGTAGATTTTTTGGTACTGCAGTTTTGAAACCATCATCCACCTTTGTTGGTATAAATCGTTTGAATGGAGATGTGGTGGATTTTCTTAATGGTGACATCAAAGAGAGTTTGGGTGATGGTATTTTGATGGTTGTGTTCTTTTTCTTTTTTAGATTTGCCATTTCAACTTTAACAGATTTTAGGATACCGACCAATGAGAGTATTCTATTCATTAAGAATAAAACATCTTTTTGATTAATTCTAAATAACAAGTCGCCTAAAACAATTGAAAGTGATAGTCTTGGGGGTGGTAAGACATTGGCATTGGCTAAATCGTCATCTATCCATACTAATACACTGGTCATTTCGACTGATAGTTTCAAATCTGTCAATATATAATTCTCTACTACATCTTTTAAAATTTCTTTAGTCTCATCTTCATAATTGTAGTGAATGGTCTTGATGTTTAAACTTTCTAAATCAAAGTGGAACAATGCGAGTGTTTCGTTATTGATAAATTCGTTGTTGATTCTTAGTCTACCCAAATCTAATATTAATTGACTCTTTGAAAACTCATTCTCTGGTATAACCAAATATGGAGACTCCATAACTGCATTAATCTTTAATTTCTTTCTCTTTCTATATTTTTCGACACTATTACCCTTATTTAAGTTTGAGTTTGAGTTGTTACTGTTACTGTTATTATTACTGTTACCACTTTTAATAATGCCTGGAATGTATTGGAATAAATCCAAAATATAATCTTTAAGAATATTTAAAAAGGTTGGTAATAAATAAATCTGGAATCTATTAACATCTGCTTCTAATATTGTTAACGGACCATTAGCTAATTTTCTAATACGTTCATATTTAAATGATAGTAGTAGATTTGTATCGTCATAGTTTGATAAAGCCTTTCTATAGAGATGGTTAGAGTTTTTTATATGTGTGATGATATCAAACAATTCAAACCCTTCTACAAAAATATCTAAAATTAATCTATCGCTAAGCTTGGTGATTTCTAGATCTACTTCTTTCATGTCTAATCTTGCGATATTGATTTCTTTAGGTTGATTATACTGATTTACAATGCCAACAAGTGATGGTGATTCACTATCTGAAATTAATACCGATTTAATACCCTGTACCGAAATTAAAATTAATACTTTATTTAACCCAGTTCTAATTGATCGCTTCTTTAGTAAATCTAGTGATGATGATTGTACGGATTGCGTTACTTTTCTATTTACAAGAACACTATAAAAGCAAAAAAAAAAAAAAGTATTATTAATTATACATAATAAAGAATATAATAGAAATAAATTTAAACTTACATCATTTGAACAACTTCAATTATATTGCCTAAAATTTGTGGTGTAAAGTTACAGTAAGTAAAACCCAAATTGATAACAACTTTTGAAAGTTTTTCATATGTTGGAATCATTTGTTTATTGTGGTAGATGGTACCATGAAGAATAGATTGATAGATTGGGTGGAAATCTGGAATTGGGATTTTAAATTTACTAATATCTGAGGAAATAACAATATCTTCGTCTGTAAAGTTTTCATCCCCTTGCTCTTTAGATCTATAAATATTCATATCTGAAAATTTGTAATCACCAATTACTGTTGTATCTTGTTGATTACTCTTTTCTACTTTAAGATTACTAATAAGTTGATTAGACTTGATATGTAGTAGTGGTTTGTTATCAGTTGATGATAGATTTAATAAATTTGTAACGATAATATTGATATCATCAAAAACAACGTAACTTGAAAATACAATGTCACGTTTTTTTAAAGCTAAAATTTCTTTTAATTCATCATCACTGCTGGTGGAGGAGGTAGTTGATTCTGTGATAGGGGTGGTATTGTGGTTGTTTGTGTGGTTTAGTAAATTATTAAATGATGTACGTAATGTATTGGTTGAAGTTGATAACCATTGTCTTTTTGGTTTTGGTGATGATGTTGAATTTATAATACTTGGTGATGCAGATGTTATTGTTGGTGTTGAGTTGTTATTTGATTTATTTGGTGATAAAGTTTGTTTAGTAGTTTGATTTTTTTGTAATTTAAATTGGAAGGAGGATATAAACGCATCTTCTACCCTTCGGATTTCTACCATTAATTGGAAAATAAATAGTCTAAGTTGGTAAAATGAATATGGTGAAAAGTAAATTCTAAAAAATGGGAAATTCACCTTCATTATAACTTTTGGATTGTCGTAATCTGGTTGATTATTCTTTCTTTTTTTCATATGTACAATTAAAGAGGTTTCAAAGAAAGTTTTATCAAATTCAGTTCTTTGGTTGCAATAATTTTCAATTCTATTATCTTCTTTGAACGATGGATGTGTCAACGGATTTCTCGATCTTAATCCTTCTGTTAAAGTTAATGATGGGGGTTTGGTTAAAATTGTTTTAATATTCATAGTTGAAATTTGGAAATTTTGATATTCTACAGTTTCTTTATTCTCATTTGGTGATTGGGATGGTTCTGCTGAAGGAGGTAACATTTCTAATGAAATTTTACCAAAATCTAAAATTAATACTGAATTTTCTTGAGCAATACCATTATAGTTATTTTTATTTGATTTTACATTATTATTGCTATTTTTATTATTATTATTATTATTATTATTATTATTATTATTATTATTATTATTATCATTGTTCATTTCTTCGATTGACGAAATGGGTATTATTACAGTAGGTGATTGAGATATAATTGACATATTAACTTTATTCTTTGAAACAGTTGTTTTCTTTTTTGAAGAAATTAAACCAGATAAATCAATAGTATGACCTGGTGTAATTAATTGAAGATAACGTAAAAGAGCTGCACTATTTAAAACAAAGAAAAAAGGTTTAACATCGATCATAATTGATATATTTTTTGGTGGAGGAGGTAATCTCTTCTTTTTGCTACCAACTTGAGGAGGAGACATTGATGTTGGAGTATTTGCATCTATAATTGGGGACATGCTCATTTGAAAGTTTAGCCAATTTTCACTAAGCGTACTGGAGGAAATCATATCTGGAAATTGTTCATTTTGTACCCAAATACCTGATAATTTAATTGATTTAATTTGAGTATCTAGTTGCATGTCATTGGCTTTCTTGAATAGTGATAATTGTATACCTGAAATATCACCATATATCAATGGAGTTTGGCCATTATCAAGCTCTTCCTCTGGTTTATCACTTAATAGTCTAACATGAATAGTTTTAATTGTAAAATTCATTGACAATTCTCTTTGTTGGGATTGTAATTGTCTTGAAGACTTTGATCTAACTGATGGCGAAATAACTGATGAAGAGTTAGTTGATGGAGGACCCAATGAGCTTGTACTATCTTTAACGGCATTTGGCTTGTATCCTATTGTGTCATATACTTGTTGTTGTATTGCTTCGGTGGTTGGCTTATTCAAAGATGATAATGAATCTGTTGATGAGTTTCTTGGTATTTCAACCTCAAAATCTATTGCACCTTTTTTCTTTTTCTTTTTCTTTTCTTCTCTTTCTTTTTCTTTTTTCTTTTTCTCTTCAGCCTTCAATCTCTCCTTTTCCTTTTCTTTTTCTTTTTTTAAAATTTTATCTTTGTCCTTTTCTTTATCTTCAATTCTTAGTTTTTCCTTTTCTTTTTCCTTTTCTTTTTCTTTTTCTTTTTCTTTTTCCCTTTCTTTTTCCTTTTCTTTTTCCTTTTCTTTTTCCTTTTCTTTTTCCTTTTCCTTTTCCTTTTCTGATTTTTCTTTTTCTTTCTCTTTATTTATAAATGATTTTTTTATTATACTTTCAAATGCACTCTTATTGTTTTGTTTGTCTTCCTATAGTTTTATAAAAAATAAAAAGTTTGTTATTTAAATTTTGGCACTATTATAAGTGATTATAATATTATAAATATAATTACTTTAATTTCATTTACAAATTCACTTATATTTTCCAAAATACTTAATAGTGAACTATATTGTTGAGGCTCTAAACTTAAACCAATTTCTTCAATTATTGATTCAATATCAATTCTAGTTATATTTTGTAAAATTGAACCAACTTGATGAATCTTTAAACGTAAATTTGCGGAAAGTGGGTGTAAAAGCATGTGATGATTTAAAGGGTCTTTACTTGTCGGAATACTATCCCTTAGAGCTTGTATAAGATCTTTAGTTGATAAATTACCCATTGGTTCTTGATCATGGTCACAATATATTGATAGATTTGATAAATCTGCTAGTTTGTTTAAGACACTTATTGAATCAGGTGATGATGATGATGACTCTATCCAAGTAGGGTTCCAAAAATCGTCAGTACTTTGAACGAAAAGTCTATCTAAACACAAACCAATTGCTATATTTCTATTGTTTCTACGCTCCTCAATTCTAATGTGTACTTTTTCTATAACTACTTGTAAATTATTTATAATTTTACTGATTAATTTTTCTTTAAACGAATCACCCTTCTTTTTTTTCGATGACTTTTCTGTAGATAATGATGAATCCTCTTCATTTATATTGAGATTTTCCATATCACCTAGCTCTGCTAATTGATCTGTATCCTCTTCTTTTTCTTTTTCTTTTTCTTTATTTTTTTGCTTTTTATCAAGTTTTAAAAATTTTAGAAATTTATCGCCAGATGTGTCATAAGATAGACTTTCACTTCCTAAACTTTCGTCGTCAGATTGATATGAAGAGTCGTCATCGCTGCTGTAGTTTGTTGATGATGATGATGCCAAGATATAGATATCTTGAAGATGCACAACCACTGATTCAGATTTTAATTGAGTCCAGGGGACTTTTACTGTTAATCGACCAACCACACCTCTATTTACCGATAAGGGCAAATCAAAGGCTTTAAACGCCTCGGGTTTAACTTCGATATTTTTAAGAACAACGTTTCCATTAAATAAACCAATATTTAATTGTTTTTTAGTTACTTCTTGAAGAAAAGATCCCAGAAATCTATCTATGACTTCTGCTATTATACCTTCGAAAACCATATTTTATTTATTTTTATATAATATATTCAACATATAAATAAATAATTGAATGAAAAAATAATACTACAAATGAAAAAAAATAAAAAAATAAATAAATAAATAAATAAATAAAATAAATAAATGATATAATAACTAAAAAATGGAATATTAGGATTTTATTTAAAAAAACAAATAAAAATATTCATTATACAATTTGTATGAATAGTAATTATTTAGTGTAAAAGTGGGTGGTTTTGTAAGATTATACAAAAAATAGAAAAAAAAAAAAAAAAATTTTAAATTATAATAATTAATTTTTTTTTTTGAATTTTTTTTTTTTATTTTTTTTATTTTTATTTTTATTTTTTTCATTTTTTTTCAATTAATCAATAAATAATGACGCAATCCCGCTCTTGAGAAATCGAATAGGACATAACTTCTATTTAATGGGATAATTTATTAGCTTTTTAATTATTTTTTTTATTCCTTTCCTTATTAAATCAAAAAAATAATTATCATTAATCAAAAGTGTCAAAAAACATCAAAAACTTGTAAATAAATTCAGAAAAATATATTTTTTTTTTTTGAATTTTTTCTATTTTATTTGAATATTTTAAAATTCCCAAAAAAAAATCTAAATATATAAACAACGTTTTTTTTTTTTTTTTAGTTTTATATATAGCACATAAAAATGATAAATAATAGTATTAATAGCAAAAACAATAAAAACATTAATAATAAAAATAGTAATAATATAATTCCAATAAAAAGTTTTTTAAAATATATTATAAATAAAGAAGATAAAATAAAACTTTTTGATTATATGAAAAACAATGATTTTAAACAGCTAAAAAGAGGTAGCTATTACATTTATTTAGAGTTACTATTTTTATATAAATGTTTTTTACTAACTTTTATTGTAATTAGCCGAAAATGAAATCAAATTGGGATACAGTATATGGTTTGTTGATGATTTAAATGAACCCAATATAATATTCTCATTCGAATTATTGGATGCATTGGTTAAAGTTTATTCAAATAATAAAAACATGGAAAAGATTGAAAATGCAATTAATTCAATAGATTTTAGCAAGGGTTTTTTAAATAGTTTCGAAATACCCAAAGAAGAAATCGACTCGTTGCTAATCGATGTTAAATACACAAATGCAATGCTATACCATTTGGGCGATTCTGTAGAGTATTACTCAATCATGGAGACTGCCAATAGAGATATTGTGGCTCTTCTCAAAAAGAGACTAAAGAAATGCAAGTTCAATGTTCTAACAAGCCAACCTCACAACGAATTCTCTCTCGACATTCACGAAATCGATGTAGACCAAAAAATTAAAGAATTTGAAAAAAACCTGGATGGTAACGAAGCCCCGTTGAACCATGATGATATTGAGATTGCATGTATGTAAATAACAAATACTATCCCACCCTACAAATGTTTTTACAAGCTATTAATACACCATTTTAATAACAATAATAATAAAGGTAAATATTGGGCTTATAAAACAGAGTTTTCAGTTGAGGAGCTAAAGTGGTCAGTTGATAATGAATTGGCATTTGGGTACAAGGTGAAAGACGAAAATAATAAAGAGCAGCTTGTAGCATGGAATATAATAAAATCAGATGGCAAAACAGTGCACTTATTCACCATACCAGAATTTAGAGGGAAAGGATACGCTAAAAAAGTTAAATCAAAAACACTACTTGCATTACTAAAAAGAAATTTAACGGCTCTATCGTATATCAACATCGACAATGTTTCATCTGAATCCCTAAGCACCAAAATGGGGCTAACCAAAGACTCATCGACTGTTGTAACATTAAGAGCTGATAAAATAAAGAAAAAATCCTCGCAACAACAACAACCAACAAACCAACAATCACAACCAATCTAAATTAGATAAAATAAAATATTTATGTGTATTATATTATTTAAAAATATCTTAGTTTTTTATTTATTGATTTAAATAACTTAAAATTGATTCTTCATCTAAATTGTTTTTTTCTATATAGTTTAAAAGTACATTTTGGACCAAATTTACAAAACTTGATGGTGGTGATGATGAATCGGTTTTATATTGGATTTGTGAGGTTGCATTTAAAATATATTGATCTTCGTTTTTATTATCGGTGCTATTATTATTAACGAGTAGTTTTAATAATTGGATAATTGATTTTAAACACACTAAATCTCTTTGAATTAACATGCTGAAGAGGTTTTGTTTATCTGTTGCGCTATCTGAGAAATCTTGAAATGATAATAACGATTTTTCACCTAAAGATTGTAAATTGTAGAGAAAACTTGTAAATAATTGAAACATTATAAAGAAACTTTTTTCGATAGCTTCTTTTTCGTTGATCATTTCCTCCTCCTCTTGTTTGGCATCTGTTTGGCTTTCTTTTTGTTTGCAAAGCTCGTCCTGTATTTCTCTTTTAGTTGCCTCCTTTTCCTCATCACTTTTAGCAATACTCATTAGTTTTGCATTAATTTCATTTCTGTTATAGTTAAACAATTCTATAGCTTTATTTACAGTGGTTGATAGTGTTGAATCATTATTATTATTATTATTATTTAGAAAACTCTTTAATATATTTGATTCGAAATTGATATTATCGTTTTTATTAAAATAATCCATTACTTGTTTATTGCTGTCTTTGTCTGTTGAAAAAATGTTATTAAGTTTCATTTTAATATCACCATTGAATAATGCAAAGTAGTATCTGAGTTGATCTGAGACCTGGTAGAGTTCGAATAAGTTTGACATCATTCCACATGATTCTGCTGCTTCTTGAATTTTTTTCAATAGCTCCAATACCATATTATACAATTTAATTAATTCGAGTTTGGTTTCATTTGATTCTGATTTATTAATTTGATGATAAAAAAATCTAATTAAATTTATTAAATCTTGAATAACTTTCTCTTTTTCACCTTCACTCTTTAAAGTATTAAGAATTGAAAATTGAATTGCTTCTTGTTCTTCTTCTTGATAGTCAAATTCTTCTTGATCCATTATTAATATTACTTATTTTAATGAAAAATAATTATAAAAATAAAAAAAATAAAAATTAAAAATAAAATATAATTTTTACTTTTTTTTTTTTTTTTTTTCAAAATTTCATCACAATGCATAACCGAATCATTTAATGCTGTTTTTTATTTTTAAATTGTTATTATTATAATATTAAAAAATATTCTTATTTTTATCACTTTTTTTTAAAATAAATAATTCCTTTTTTTGTATAGTGGTGGGTTAAATAGAAAAAAGAAAAAAATATGGTTATTATTATAAATAAAACAATGTTTATAATAAAATAAATATATAAAAAATTTTATTATAAAAAAATGAATATGTGATTTTTTGTAATTATAGTTTTAATAATCAATATCACACAATAATTCTTATCTTTAGAAAAAGAGATTTAAAGTAAGTTATTTTATATTCAAAAAAAAAACTATAAATGGTGGAATTTTATTTTGTTTTTATTCATCAATTAAATAATAAATTGTAATAATAATAATAATAAATATATTGTAATAACTGTAATTGTAAATATATCAAATGATTAAAATAATAATTTTTAGTTTTTTAGTTTTAGGAAGTTTAGCAATTTGTAAAGCTTTTCCAAGTGGTTCTATTAGTGGGGTTGCCTCTTATTATAATGATGCAGGTATTGGTGCATGTGGAACTCAAATTAACGCCAAAACCGATTTGATAGTTGCCATTCCTACATCATATTGGACTAGCGCAAATCCAAACGCTGATCCTTTATGTAACACCAAAATAAAAGTAACACATGGTAGTAATTCGGTTGTACTTACTGTAGTTGATAAGTGCCCAACATGTGGCCCAAATAAAATCGATATTAGTGAATCTGCATTTATCCTTCTTGCAGGTAGTACTGTCGATGGAATAATCAATGTAACTTGGGAGTTTATTGGTACTGGAAGTAGTAGCACTACTACTGGGAACAGTGGATCTGTAACATCAGGAGCCAGTACAACAGGTGGTGGTAGTTGCCAAAAACAAGTAGCAGTTGCTTCAGGTCAAGGATGTTGGGATGTATGGACTTCAAAGTGCGGCAATCTATGGGATGAAAATCAATTCTATCAATCTAACCCAGGTGTACAATGCACTTCTCTTAAAGTTGGTCAACTATTGTGTTGTGGAAAAAGCAGTGCAAGTAGTGGCACTACTGGCTCATCATCTAGCGGCTCATGTTCAAGAAAAACAACCGTTGATGCAGGTCAAGGATGTTGGGATGTATGGACCTCAAAGTGTGGCAATCTATGGAATGAAAATCAATTCTATCAAGCAAATCCAGGTGTTCAATGCACCTCTCTTAAAATTAATCAATCACTTTGTTGTAATTAAAATATTTTTTAAACTATAGATTTATTTTTAAAACAATTAATTGCATACCAAAAATAAAAAAATAATTATAAATATACATATATAAAAATAATAATAGAAAAGATAACTTTATAAATAAATTTATTTTTTTAATCATTTGTTGGTTCTGGAACGATTGTATAACTTTGATATTGTGAAAAATATTTGTTTTCAAAAACTTCTTTATCTAGTAGTTCTTCTTTATCTAATTCTATTATGTGTTTCCCTAAAACACTGAAGGATAGACCACATTTAATATCTCGGTCGATAACAAATTGAATCTTATCACCAACTTTAAATGTTACATATATTTTACCTTTATCTGAGAGAGGAGTAATTTCTTTTACTTTGTCTGATTGAATACTAAATTCCATTTTATAATAGGGTGGTCTTTCATCATCTTCTTTAATATTAAATTTTTCTGTTTCTCCAAATATAATAATATCTACATGTTTTTCTGAAGAATTACGGAAATGAATAGATTTTGAATTTTCAAAAACATTACAGTACCATTCTTTAGGGGCATAAGTAACATTTTGTTTAGTAGGATGTGGGATGGATGAGACTGTTCCCATAACCTCATAGAAGTGATGATTATTTATATTTCCGTTTTGTTGGCTTTCCATCTTTAGATCAATTTTTAGTTTAATTAAAAAAAATAAAAAAATAAAAAAAAAAAAATTTTCTTTTTTTCAAAATTTTTTTTTTTTTGATTTTTTTTTTTAAATCAATTAATGTTGGTTCCCCTTTATAAAATTTAAAAAAAAAAATTGGTAAAATATTATAACTTTATTTTTTTTTAATTTTTTCCTTCATTAATTTTCTTTGAGTTTTTATAATTGTTGCAATGACTAAAATTGAACCAATGACTGTAACAGTAAGAGTATTGAATTTAACACTTTCTAAATCTTTTAATTGACCAACTGGTACATCAATAAATAATGATTTGGTATGTTCAAAGAGTGGAGAGAAACTTGTAATTAATTTCCAATGATCAAAAGTGGATTTTGATTCGGTAACACTATTTGTTGGTTCGCATTGAATGAAAATCATTGGTGATGAAATGTGAGTATTACGATATGCATCTTGGTTTGAATTTATTGGGTTTTGATAACGAAGATGAATTGGGAGTGTGACTTGAATGGTTTGTTCTGGTTCGCTGTTAACTGTAAATTCTTTAACTACTGAGATGTAATTTTGGGTGCTAGTAGCTGATGGTTTTTCTAAATCGATAAGTTGGTAAATGTTTACTTTTGGACCACCAAAACGTTCAATTTCATCGACTTCATAACGATCAACAAAAATACCTTGGTCAAAATGTTCTAAAAATAAAAGTTTGCATTCTCTTGGGATCTTTAAAGTTGGTGGTGATTTAATGGTAACATTGCTGACCAATTCACGATGGAAACCAGATTTCTTTATTGAACGTTCTAATTTAGTGATACTCCATTGTTGTTCTTCTTGTTGTTGTTGTTGTTTAACTACATCTTTTCCTAAAAGTGAAACTTTAGATTTATCTAATTGATATAATTCTTTTTCATTATTTTGGACTAAAGTAACCTGGGTAGAATATTTTTGTTCTGGGTCAGAGATTAAATGAGTTTCATCTTTGATATATTTGATATTAATCTTGTTGCTATCGTGTAAATATAATGCCATTTCATTAAAATGAATTGTTTCTTTGGTAATCTCCATGGTGAAACCTAATAATTGGTTGAAAGATTTTTCGATGAAATAGTTTACTTTTCTATTTCCACAAAGTTTATGATGGTGGAACATTGAAAGACAATTTAAGAAACTCTTGCTGTTTAATAAAGAGTCATAGTATTCGCTTTCTTCTTTTGATAAATCGAATTTGGATGATTGAAGGAAACGTAAACGATTGATGTTACTTGTTTTTGAATTATCATTAAAGTCAATTTGGCTGAGTGATGGTAAATTCAAATGATCTGGAACCAAACCCATGTGTAAAAGGTTTTCAAAAACATCAGACTCTTTAGCGCTGCATGGTTGCATTGAAATATCTAATACCGATTCTAATATTTTACAAATTGAAAAAGTTTGATTAAATGTCAATGTTTTAATAGTTGAATAATGTTCCATTTTATTTTCACTTGATCCTTCATTAAACTTTACCAATACACTGATAGTTGGCTCTAAAATAGTTGGGTAGCTATTAAATGATGCTGAAGAAGAGGATGAATAAGATGTGGATAATGTTGAATCGATTATATCACTATTGTACTGCTTTTTTGAAAATAAACCCCCTAAATGATTATTATTAAAATATATTGTTATTGACTCGATATTATCTTGTGTATTATCATCACCACGTTTAAATAATTCATTTGAAAATAAATTTCTTTTATATTTTGATGTTTGACTATGTGATATTATTAAATTTGATTCTGCTTCTAAAACAATACCATCTTTAATTATTAATTTATTTTTATTATTTTCTAATGATTTTACAAATATTTTATCTGTTGATTCGTATGGGTTATATTCGATTTGTGATTGTTCACCCAAAACAATAAATATTAAATTTAAAATTATTAAAATAACTTTAATAATTTTATTCATTTTATTTAATATTAAAAATGAAAATGAAAATGAAAATCAAAAAAAAAAAAAAAAAAAAAAAAAAAAAAAATTTTAAAAAAAAAATTTAAAAAAAAAAAAAAATTTATTTTAACACTTCATTGTATAAATATATACATATTATATAAAAATTATAATATGTAAAAAAAATAAATAAAAAGTGTGTGATGTGGGAAAAAAATTTTAATAAAAAAAATATTTTTCTTTTTTTATTAATTTTTTTTTTTTTTCTATCTCATATCATTTCCTGTTCATCCCAACACTTTACAATTAAAATGTAAGCAACAAAAAAACAATACAAATCTTTAAAAATAAATAAATAAAACTAATTTAATATCATATTTAGGAATTTTTATAAAGAGGAAAATAAAGATTTATTCGAAATTATAAATAAAGATTTCAAAAATATAGACTTTTGCTATGAATACACCATCGATGAAGAAGATTCTAAAAAAGATTGTAGGTGTTGGAAACTTATCTATATTATCTAACCATAAATAACTAATTTATTTATTATATACATACAATCTATAGATATAAATGAAATTTCAAAATTTCAAAACCCAATAAAAGAAGCATTTGGCATTATGGAAGAGGATTTGGATTATTTTCACAACTTTAACAAAACTCTAACAAAAAACTCTGGTCTTTTAATGCAAGATAAAAATGGTAAAGAGTTTTTAAAAGTATTTTTATTGAAAGCAAGTCAGGATTTAGTTGGAGGTGACTTATTTATAATGGATTTTAAAGGGGATTATAAGGTCATCAAAACTGACATTGGAAACGATAAACTTAAAATAGTTTGCTTTTTAACCAAAGATACAGTGTTTGAATTCAAGGATATCACCAAAGGGTCGTTGTCAGTCGACGAGTTTAGTTTTGTAAAGAATTCTCGTTTGGAATATTCGTCTCAGCTTTACCATCTTCGTAAAATTTCAAAAAATCTAAACAACAACTTCAACACTATATTAGAACAACACATGATCAAAAACAATTTATCAAAACTAATATTATTTTTAAATTCAAAAAATGAAAATAATGGAACCAACGAAATAATAACCAATAATACTAATAATAATAACATCAACATTATCAACTCTTTAAACAAACAAATCAGCACCGAAAATGGGAAAATAATCGATAATATTAATAAAACTAGTAATATAAAGAATGACAATATTTCCTTTACTAACTTTTCAAATTATATAAAATCAAATAGAAATCTACATAATGGTTATTTTGCAAATATTTTAATCAAAATTGACGATATTGGCCATTTAGATAGCAGAGATGTAGATAATATTAATTTAGATGGTAATTCGAAAATCAAGGAAATGACACTTTTTGAAATCAAAGATAAGGATGATCAAATAGTAGATGATATTATAGATTCAAGTTTTAAAAAGGTGTGCTTCGACGAACTTCTACCATTTCATATTGACAACACAATAAAGCCAAATTCAGAATTATTTAAAAAGAATGATTTAATAGCTGATTTTATATTCCAGGTTTTCGTTTTTATTTTTCCCAAACAAGATACAAATAAAAAAAGGAAATTGTAATTAAATAAAAAATAAACAATTTATATTCTTTTAAAATTTCATTTTATTTTTATTTTAATATTATTTTATTATAAAATAAACTTTATTAATTTTTATTTTAATTTTTTTTTAATTTTTATGTGGGTGGGTTAAAATAAAAATTATGTTTTATAATTATTATAATTTATATTTTATTTTAACATTTTTTTTTTTATTATTTATATAAATTTTTAAATAATTTTTCAATTTATTATTAATAATATAAAACTTTTAATCATAATAATAAAATGTAAGCTTTAAAAACTATATTTTATATTCAATTATTAAAAACTAATATTGTGTTTATTATTTTTTAGGGTTTTAATAAGCAAAAAATTTGAATATTTTAAAGATCTATTAGAGAATGAAGATATTGAAAAAAAAGAATTTAAACAATTAAATGACAGCTCATACTATCATCAATGTATGATTGAAACACCAATCAATATTAAAATTAACAATATGTATCTTTCTATTCCATGCTTAAAGGAACAGTTATATGAAATTTGTTCATCATTTGGAAAAAATATTTATAATAATGGTTAGTAATAAAGTAATATTAATATGAGCTATATAGAATTTTTATTAATCATTATAATTTAGTTTGGGAAATAGATAAAAATCTAATTAAAATAGGGAATGATGGTGGATTATATTTAGAAAGAGAACAATCACTTATAAATAAAGTAAAGGAAGGATTAGGAATATATAAAGATGAAAATATCAAAATCAAACTAAAAAGAATGTTAATTTGTAAAAATGAAGGATATTTACCATATTGTGATATTGAAAAACAAAATTCTAAATATTTCGGTAAATTATTTGTTTCAGTGCCAAGTAGTTCAATTGGTGGTGAATTTATAATTACCAATCCAAACAATGGTAAAAACAATAGAATTAATCTTTCAAATAACTGGGGTTCAATTTTCAATTGCGTTGCATTCTATTCAGATTGTTTATTTACTAGTGATCCTATTTCAAGTGGTAATAGAGTTTATTTGGAATATGATATGGCAAAATCAACCAAAAGAAGCTTATCAAGTAAAACCCTAGAGCAAATAAAATCAAACTATGAAAATAAAAGTGAAAAGATATCAGAGCAATTAGATTTTATTTTTAATGATAAAAATGTACCCAAATTGGTATATCTACTAAAAAACAAATATTTAATGGATGAAAATTTAGCTCCCCAACTTGAAGGTTCAGATTTCAATGTTGTAAAAAAGATAGAAAAGGTTTCAAAGATTAATCCAGATTTAGGTTATTGTTTTTCAAACTATTGTTTAAAAATTGAAAGCACAGGTTCATTTGAAATTGAAAATGACGAAGAATCTTTCAAAGAAGAAGAATGCAATATATTAGAAAATTTTATTCACACCCATAGAGATATAAACTATAACCCAATCAATTTAAACCAAACAAGTATATCCCCAGATTTTTGTGAACTTTTACCATCGCAACCATTCCAATCATACAATTATATTTCCTCAAATCCCGATTTTAAAAAAAACAAATTATCCCTTACATATGAATTACCCTCATTAGTAATATATAAAAAATCATTATTACAAAAAAATAATAACAATATTTTGTCAATAGAAAACGATATACTAGCTGAAAATGGAAATAGTTACAACACTGAACCACCACATAAAAAATCTAAATCAACTTAATAAAATCTTTTTTTTTAATATTTATTAAAATTTAAACCCCCATTTCTAAATCAATAAACTAAAATTTTAATTATTTTTTTTAATTTAATTTTTTTTTTAATTTTCCCCCATATAAAATGCTTAAAATAAAATTTTAGTTTTCATATTTCATAAAAAAATACAAACAAAAAAATAAAATGGTAAATATAATTATAAAAAATAAAATACTACTATTATTTATTAACCTATTTTCTATATACTGTAGGATGTTAAAGATACAGTTTTAAATATGATTTCTTCAGAAGTCTTCATTCCAAAGGAATCAATTAGAATCGAATCTACTCTCGGTGATAATGGAGGTAATTTCATTATAATATAAACCCTATTGATATCTATATACTTATATTTTTTTTAATTTTTATAGCTGCTCCAGATATGGTCGAAATTAAAAGCAAACTAGATAGACACTACGAAATGAATATCCCAATTGATGTTATGCATGGAAAAATCTCAGGTATTATTTCATGTATTGAAAAAAAGAAACATATCCTTCATTAGATATTAATTAAAACCAAAGAAATATAAAAATTGAAAAAAGAAAAAAAAAATATAAAATATAAAAGAAACAATTTAATAAATTAATATTTTTACAATTTGTAAAAAAGAAAATATAAACATTAAACTTTTTTTTTAATAAATAAATAAATAAATAACTTTTTTTTATTTGTTAAATTACATTTTTTTGATTATTTTTATGTAATCAATTAACAGCTATAGCTTTATAATAAGAGTACATTAATTATTAAATAAATAATTAAAAGTAAGGATGAATATCCACGGATTGATATTGAGGCATTGATGCTATCAGAGTCAGAGTCAGAGTTAGAGTCAGGGTTAGAGCCAGTGTTTGGACCAGAATTTGAACCTGAACCTGGATTGGTAATTGGACCTCCACTATATGGGTTTGTTTTTGAAGCAGGTTCACTACCAGCAGAAAAAGCTGCCAATGTACCAACAAGCCCTACGTTATAATCTAATGCTACTTCGCTTTGAACATAATCCTCTCTATTGTCATCATAAACATCATCATTTTTTGGGCCACCAACCAAAGCACCATATAAGACATAGGTATTAACAGCTGGATTTTTAATACCATCTGTTGGATGATGAGATGCACGGTGGTGTGGATTCTTTGGGTAGTTTGTTCCCCAACCAACGACAAATGAAAACTTTTTGGGGTTATCACCTAAAACATAGTTTAACTGACTCTTTGCAAATTTTGTATAGTCATCACCTGATTTACCATAAACTGCAGCAACTAATGCCATGCTCATTGCATATCTGCATGGACCCCATTGTCTTAAATAAGCTAAACCACCTGGAGTAAAAGTAACATAACTACCGCTTATCCAACTATTTAATGCTTCCTCAACTCTTGATTTGTATGAAGCATCGTTAGTAATTTGAAGCAAAAGTAACCCTGTTGGTACACCTTTTTGATCCCAGCTTAACTCCTTAGCATATTGAACGTCGTTATATGAAAAATAAGTTTTTGCAGTATCAAGGTAATTTTGTTGATTGGTAGCCTTATATAACCAAACACTTGCCCAAGCAATTTCATCATTGTAACCACCTGAGCTATAAAAAGATCCTGCATTGCTAATTGAACTTTGGTATACATTTTTTGGATTGTTGATGGCAAAATTGTAAAGTTTTTTTGAGTGGTCTAAACAGTTGGAAGAATAAGTAGGGTCACTTGAACTAAATACCATAGAAGTTACACTAAGAGCAGCTGCAGCCTCCATAGCAAGATCAGTACCTGTTTTTGAAGAATCAATGGCAAATGAATCACGAACATATGTGAGGTTTTCAGGTGCTACCCAAAATGAATGATCGAGATCTCCATCTGCTATTTGACCTACAAAAACATTATCTTCGACATGGCATGCAATAATATAATCTGAACCCCATTTCAAAACATCTTTATATAATGAATCTAAACCACAATTTACAATATTATCTTTATATGTTACATAAACCCAACCTAACATTGTCATTGAATAAGCCATTGGAAATCTAAATAAAAAAAATAAAAAAAGTTTAAATTAATTATTTTTTATTATTTAATTTTAAAATTATAATTATAAATATTTACCCAAACTATATTTTAAATTAATGATAAATAAATTAAAAATAATTAGAAATCTTTTAATTTTTATAAATAAATAAATAAATCAATATATTAATATTTACCTTTACAGCATCACCAGCATCAAAATAACCTTTTGATAAAATACCATCGCCATTTGAATCGAATTTATTGTTGTAGGTATCTTTAAGGACACTATTACCTCTCCATGGAATATCGTTATCGGGTAATCTTCCTGCTCTTTGTGCTTTGTAAAACAATAAAGAATATTTTAATGCTTCACAATAATTAGTACTTTGGGCATATACCAAATGACTATTATTAATACAAATTAAATAAATAATAAATAATATAGATATTATTTTCATTTTCTAGTTTTACAAAAAAAAAACAAAATTATTTGTTTTTTTTACAATAATATAATACAATTTAAATAAAAAATTATTTTAAAAAAAAAATTAATTGGATTTTATATTTTTTTTTTTTTTTTTAAAATATTATGATATTTTAAAAAAATAGATATTTATTTATACACACCACCAAATTACATTTTTGGTGCACTCAATTATAATGAATTTCAGATAAACTCTTCGTTTTTTTTTTCATTTTTCAATTTTTTTTATTTTTTCCAAAACCCACATTTTGGAAAGCCAATTTTTTTTTTAGTGATAAAAACACACCGTTTTTAATTTTGTGTGTGATTACCAATCTATTAAATAAACCCCACTCATAATAATAATTTTGCACAAATAAATATATATATTTACAAAAAAAAATTTTATATTAAATTATTTAATTAACTAACCACTTTTTTCAACTGATCTTTAATCTATAAATAGTTTATATATAATTAAATTATTATAATTTTCATAAATCTAAATTAAATAGATATAAAAAAAATAATACTTTGAAAATGATTTATTAAAGAATTATATGTATAAAACGATTAAATAAAATTAAAAAAAAAATAAGTAATCTATTTTTAAACCTCTGCTTTAAAAACACCTTTTATTTTTTATTTAATATAAAATCGTCTATTTTTAGACTTGAATCTTTTAAAAATGATTTAAAAAAGATCGAGTTAATAATTTTAACTCTATCTTTCACCTGTAATGGAATATCATTATTACCACCACTGTACAACTGCTCGCTAGTTACAAAATACAAATCATAACCTCCATTTAGTGCTCTTCTTGATAAAAGACTACCCTCTACAATACCCTGGCCGCTCTTTATACTCTCTTTTGTGCTCTTTCTATTACATTGTGATAGAGAACTATCAACCACACATAACATATTTTTAAAAGGACCATCTTTGTTGTTTTCGTTATTATTATTGTTATTTTCATCATTAATATTATTATTATTATTATTTAGGTTATTGTTTTTGTTATGATAATGATCACCACCACTATTATGATTGTTATTTATATTTTGCCTATTATAATAATTATTATAATAATTATTTTTATTATTATTATTATTAAAATTGTTTTCATAATTGTTGTTCTTTCTTGTGTATTGTAGGTTTAAATTACTGTTATAGATATCGTTTAAATGGTTTCTTGTAAATTCATTCAGATTATTATTATTTTTATTATTATTATTATTATTTTTGTTGTTATTAGTATGATTATTATTAATTGAGTTTAGCTTATTGTTTATTTGATTTTGCTCTGTACCATTTTTAAATTTATTATTTTCGTGGTTATTATGATTATTATTATTGTCATTAATTACTTGAAAATTATTTTTGTTTTCATTCTTATTGTTATTGTTTTTATTAATAATTTCATTATGATCATTATCAAAAAGGCTAGAGTCTACTAAAAATGGTTTTTTCCTTAATATTTTACATAGATTCTCTTTTTCGTTATTTGACTATATAAAAATTAAAATTATTAATTAAAATTTCTATTTTTTTTATATTTTTAGTGTAAATATTTTACTTTTTGTAAAATCTCAATTAAATTTGTTTGATTTTTTATTTTATTTAATAACATATTTTCATTATTTTGATATTTAATTATTTGGTTCGAAATAATGTTAGTTTGATCATTTATATCTTTTATATTATATAAAAGATCATTTTTTAATAAAAAAACATTATCATTAATTTCATGAATTTCTTTTAAATTTTTATATGACAATTTAAACTTTTGGTTTATAATTACACTACCAATTAAAATAAAAAATACAAAAATAATTAAAACTATAGCAATAAATAACATTTTAAAATAATTATATTTTAAATGAATGTACAATTATTAAATAATTAAAGAAAAAGTAAAATAAAAATATTTTAAAATTAAAAAAAAAAAAATTATAATATTTTAAATATTGTTTAATTTTTTAAATTAAAAAAACTATTAACAAAGTGTTTTAAATTTATTAAAAAATATTAACAAATGGTAAACTACAAAATTACACTTTAAATATACTCCCAGATGGAGTTTGTTGATAAATGAAAAACTAAATTATTTTTTTTTAAAAATATTTTTGGAATGGTTAATTTAATTATATGGTATTGTTTTAAATCTGAATAAAAGAGAAAGCTTTCTGTTTACAATTTAATTTTTAATGTTTTCTTTTTTTTTTTTATTTTCTTTTTTTTTATTTTCTTTTTTTTTTTTTTTGTTTTATATTATTATTTTAGTTGAATCTATTACGGTCATGTGGTTCATTAATATAATCCATATTTGGACCATTTGGAACAATACCATATGGGTTAATGGTACGATGTGAACCATAATAATGATGTTTGATGTGGAAAAAGTTAATAGTTGATTTAATTGGTTCCATTTGATAAATTTCACGAGTGTAGTTGCTAAGGTTTGGATATTCTTTAATTTGTCTTTTATTACATTTAAAGTGACCGACATAGACACAATCGAATCTAATTAAAGTTGAAAATAATCTATATTTGTATATAAAAAATAAATAATTAGTAAATTTATATTTCTTTGATATTTATAATTTATATATATAAAAGTTATTTACCTAACATCAGCTTCTGTGAATCTTGAACCAACTAAATAACGTTGTTTGGAAAGGATTTCTTCAACTTTATCTAAAGCAGCAAAAAGTTTTTCAAAAGCATCATCGTAGGCTTCTTGTGATACAGCAAAACCACATCTGTAAACCCCATTGTTGATGTTTGGATAAACAAATTCATTAATTTTGTCGATTTCAGTTAATAAATCGCTTGGGCAGAGGTCAAGAGCTGGGTTTTTAGCAAAGTCATTGAATTGGCTGTTTAACATACGGATGATTTCTGATGATTCATTGTTGACAATTCTTTGAGTTTTTTTATCAAAGAGAACTGGTACTGTAATACGACCACTATATTCTTTATCAGTTAAAAGGTAAACATCTCTGAGAGCTGGGAAATTGTTAATTTTGTCTACAGTTGAACCATGTCTAGTTGAAAACTTCCAACCACCAGTTTCTAAAATATAATCTACAACTGAATAATCAATAATATCTTCTAATCCCTTGAGACTATTTAAATTATAAAAAAAAAAAATAAAAAAATTAATATTTTTTTTTTTTTATTATTTATAAATAAAGTATATAAAATTCTTACTTTAAAAACATTAATGTACGGTTGGCCCATGGACAAGCATAACTAACATACAAGTGGTATCTATTGGCTTCTGGTTTAAAAATTGGATGGTCTTTGGAAATGTGATCTCTGAAACTACTATCGATTCTAATGAAAGCACCTTTTTTATCTAATTCATTTTCAAAATCTATGGTATTTGGTTTAATCTCTAATCCTTTATTTGACATTTCTTCTTTCTTTTTATTATTATTTAAATTTAAATTTTTATTACTATTTATAAAATTTCTTTTAAAATATAAACTATTGTTTTTATTATTATTATTATTAATACTAGTATTGGAAAAAAATAAATAACTATTATTTAATAATCTATTACTATTATTTTTTACAAGTTTAGTTGAAGCTAATGAAAAAAAATTTTTATTTAAATTAAAGAGCATCTTCAAAAAAATAAAAAATAAAAAAAATAAAAAATAAAAAAATTAAAAATAAATTAAAAATAAATTAAAAATTTTTTTTAAAAATTATTCCGGATTAATGGAATTATTTTTATATTCACATTCAATGAAATAAAAGAATTATGTTTTTAAAAAGAATCGAATTCGTGAAATATTTATTCTAAGATTGGTAATTAAAATAAGAATATTCATATTTAAAAAATGAATAAAACAAAATTAAAAATAAGAGATTTTCAAAAATAATTTTATATGGTATATAGATTTCCAAAAGAATTCCAATCAATAATTAAATAAATGAATTTGATTAAATTGTGGGATATTTATCCTATGATTTATTAAAATGAATGTTATTTGAAATAAAAAAAATATTTACAAAAAAAGGATTTTAGACTATTTACAGGATGGATACTCTAAACTATTAAGTACTACAATTACCATTTGATTGCTAACGAGCTCTTCGTAATTTTGCTGATATCTAGATTAAATTGTAACTATAATTGAGAGCTTGTTTGACGTTGATGTTATGATTTTAATTTAAAATTGTAATTTTACAATTGTTAATTTGTTGTTTTTGAATACAGTAACCAGTAGCAGCAGTGAAACCCATATAACCTTTATGTGCAAGCTTGGCTGGAAGTGCAATATTACTTAAAAGTCTTTGATTATTTAAATCTATAGAGATACTTAATGAAACAGAGTCATAACTTAATCTAACGTTATTTGTTTTGTTAAAATTTATAATATTTGAACTGAATGAAAGAACTGTGTTTGTTAAGGAGTTTACAGACTCGACTGATGATTTAATGGTAATACAATTGGAATCTGGTTGTTCAATATCGTCGGTTAAAACAGTTTTAAACTCTACTGCCAAAATGCCACCTTCTGCTTGAGTATTATATCCCAATAAGCCACCCTCCAATAATCTATAGAATTCAAATGGATGTTGCGATTGACTATTATGAATGATAAATGACAATCCATCAGTTCCATTGGTCTCCATAGTATATGAAAATTCTACGGTAAAGCTCTTTTCAATGTCCAATAAATTATTGGAAAAAACAGATCCGATTCTATCAGTACTATCAATTGTTAAAACAGCAGCACCTAGACTCCAGAAAGCAGTTCCTCCAGTAATATAATTATCAATACATAAATTATAAACCACATTATTACATTGTTGTACAATTGGTGTATTAGTTGTTGCGGTTTGATTGGTTGCGGTTGAATTTGAAACTTTGATTTTTTTAATAGATTTTTTATTTGTTATTTTATTTGTTGTTTTTTTAATTGATTCTTTCTTTACTGATTTTTTTTTAAGTGATATTTTTTTGGTTGTTGTTTTTTTATTTGTGGGGATGGTTTTTTGAACTTTTGGTGACTTATAAAATAATGAGGGTCTGGTAATGAATAATTTTAAATCGATTAACTCAACCCTAACTCTTTTGCCAACAGATAAATTTGATAATTTGTTACTTTTAACCATTTTTTAATTTAGATTATTTAAATTATTAATTATATATTTTAATTATTTTATTAATGATTTAATTAAAAAATTTTAATTTTATAGTGCCACTTTAAAATTTTTATACCAAGAAAAATAATTTTTTATATTAAAAAATCATTTCCAAAGTTTTTAAAAATTTTTTGAAAAGTAATATTTGTTGTTTTTTTACATCTTGATTCTTCTATTTTTAAAGAAAGCATCCTTAGAAATATTAAGAAATAGAGAATATTTAATTTATAATAAAAAAAATATACCAATAAAGTTCAAAAAAAAAAAAAAATTTGTTTTTATAAAAATAATAATTTAAAGTTAAGTTTATTTTTATTTTTTTTTAAATGTTTACTAAAAAAATAAAAGTTTGTAATCAATTTTTAGATCAAAATATACATAAAGTATACACAAAATATTTTAGTAACATTTCAATAAAATTTTGCTGCCAAAAAAAATTTTTCGTTTTTTTTCAAAATAAAAAGTATTCGTTTTTTTTTTTAAAAAACTTTCACTTTTTTTTTATATATTCCCATAACTCTGAAGGTTATCAATAATGTTTTTATAAACATAATTATTCATTTGAAAAAATCAGACCTTACTCTTTGGATCATTTCTATTAGTATCGTCTATTAAAATTATTCATCAATAATTTTTCTCAAAAACCCCACGGATGAAGATGCACATTCACTTTACATAAGCGGGAAGCCGTGTAATAGTTTTGATTCTATCATTTCTATTATACATTGATGATCGTCTATCTCAGGGATGAGATGGTTGTAAGGTGAAATTCTTACGTGGATTTACTCATTTTTAAATTTAAAGAAAAAAAAAACTGATAATCAAATATATAATATTTTTATTTGATTTTAGAACATATAAAATGCAATTTTATATGTTTTAAAACCAAATAAAAACATAAATATCTTTAGTTATTATTTTTTCATATAAAGTTAACATTATTATAATAAAAAAATTATTAGGATAAGTTTTTATAACACACCAAATGCCAAAAAAAATTTAATTTTTTTTTTTTTTTTTTTTTTTTCAAAAATTTAATTTTTTTTTTTAATATTTCATAAAAAACAATTACAAAAAATAAATATATTATTATATTTATATTTATTATAGTAGTATGGCATGCACAGAGGAAGAGTTCACCGAGCTTTTAAGTGGTGAGGTTTATATAGATATGGATAAATTGGTAGCGATTTCAAGACATGGTATACCAGAAAAAGTTAGAGCAGAGGTTTGGAAATATTTATTGGGAATTTCAAAAACAGATAAATGTAATATTACTATCCCAAATTATACTAAACACATAGTATTAGTGGCATATAAATAAAATGAATACAATTTATTAATTTTGTTTTTATTTTTATTAATTTATAGCCGAAGAAGAAAGAGTAAAGAAACAACAACAACAAGATTATAAAGAAATTGATAAAAACGATTCAGAGATAACCAAGAGGATTAGGGCGCATTTAAAAAGATATCAAAATTATACTCGGTCAGATAGTAGGATTAAAATTGATTTTCAGAGTGTAGAAATTAGAAACAAGTTTGAAAATATTATTATATCATATATAAACTACAACAACGATATCGAATATTCATTTGGTATGTTAGCAATTTTAGGCCCATTTATTGCCACTCTTCAGTCAGAAAGTGATATTTTCTTTTGTTATGTTGCAATGATGAAAAGAATCGAAGAGAATTTACAAATCGAAAGTTTAACCTCGAAACTATCAAGATTTATGATGTATTTTAGATCTGTATTACCAGAATTGTAAATAATAATAATAATAGTTTTAAAATTTAATATTATATTATTAAAACTAATCATTCATTTTTTATTAGATTCAGCCATTTTGAGGAAGAGGAAGTCAGTAGCAATGATTGGGCAACAAGTTGGATTCAAAATTATTTAAGTTGCGAATTACCAATCGAATGTGTATTAAGATTGTGGGATACCTATTTATCAGCTCAATTGGGTCTCGATCTTCATGTTTTTGTTAGCTTGGCAATTTTAACCAATTTCTCTGAAGAGTTATTAGAATTAGAACATTCCGAAATATTAGCTTTCTTACAACATTTACCAGGTATTGATATGGATCAAATTATTGCTCAAGCTTATAATATTAGGGATGACATTAGGGCAAATAATGAATTATAATAATAATAATTAAAGAAAAAAAAAAAAAATAATAATAATATATATTAATATTTTTTTAAAAAAATAAAACAAATATTCATTTTAATGTACATAGTATTTGTTATATTATCTTTCAATATAATATAATAAATCAATTAATCAAATAATCAACCAAATAATTTTTTTGGCTTCACTCTTTTTTTTTTTATTGGAATAAACATTTAATTTGGTATATTTTAATTAAATTTTAATAAAAACTAACACATTTTTTTTTTTTTTTATTAAATAAAATAATGAAATAAAAAAAAATCAAAAATCAATTATTTGTTTAAAAATAAAATTTAATTTATTTGTTCAAAAATTTATAAGGTTGCATTCTCTTTTCAGACAACCCGCTATCGACAAACGATGTGTGCTTTTCTTTTAAAAAAAAAAAATAAATAAAAAAAAAACTTTTTTATTTTTTTTTAATTATTTTTTTATTATTTTTTTTTAAATTATTTATTTTTTAATTTAATTTTTTTTTTTTTTTTTAAATTTTTTTTTCTTTTTCATTATTATTAATTTTATTTTTATTTAATTTAAAAAAATCCTCATATCAATAACAATTTTAAATAATATTGCATAATTTATTTACTTTTGTTTAAAAAATACTTTATATATCAATACAATAAATAAACCAATTAGTTTTATATAATTAAATTACACATATACATTTAACGAGATGTCATCAACAGGCAATAAAATTTCAACTGGTTTTGCAAGAACCAAACAAAAGATTTTCACAAAAACTGGTCACTCTGAAGAAACCATTGATGTACAATATCACTACGAAAAAGAAAGGTATGTTTAACAGTAGTTATATGAAATAAATAGTTTATATAATTATACTAATATTTCTTGTTACTATTTTTTTTAGATTATTTTCAAATGAAGAAAGATTTAAAAATATTCAAAAAAATTCAGAAAAATTAACAAAATTAATTAAAGAATTAAATAAGATTACAGTTGATATTGGACAAGATGCATGTGATCTTTATGAAACACAAGATCCATTGTGGACCCCAGGTAACAAGTTAAGAGATATTGCAAATGATAACGACAAACATTTATTAGATTACAATGAGAACATCAGCGAACCATACACCAAACCATTGAATAATTATATTTCACAATATAAAGAAGCTAGAAAGAGAACTGAACAATTAACAACTCGTAAAGTAGATATGGATCGTTATAAAAATGAAGTTGGTAAACTTCGTGAAAAGGGTGCTGGTTCATCATCAAAAGCCAAGTTGGAACCAACCGAAGAGAAATATCGTATTTGTAAAGAAGGTTATGATAGCTTACACGAAGAATTATTAAACGATTTACCAAAATTAAATGAGGATAAAGATATTTTTATTCAATATTTGGTTGCCACAGTAAGTTTTAACATTTAATATTAATAACAATAGCAATAATATTATTGCATACAATATATTTATATTAATAATATTTTATTTTTAAAATAGTTAGTTAAACAACAAACTGATTTTTATAAAAAAATTGCATATGAATGGAGTCCAATGCCAGGATTAACTGCCCATGTCGATGAATATTCAGGTAGAGATCATCAACCAGTAATTACTAGTGTCGAAAGATCAGCTGCTTCAATTAATCTTAGATCTGATCCAGTATTTAAAGGTAATGCTTCAATTAAACAAAAACAATCTGCAGAATATTCTTCAAGTAATGTTGAAAAAGATATTCACCAACCACCAAGTTCCTCAAGTCTTAATCTCGAAAAAACACCAAATCCTTATTATAGTCCTCCAAGTGCTCCACCAATGCATCATGCCACTTCATCAGCAACAGCACTTTATGATTTCACAGGTGTTGATAGTTCAGAGTTATCATTCAGATCTGGCGATGTAATTTCAATTACTAAGGCAGAGGGTGAATGGTTTGAAGGTTTTATATCATATCCAGATGGTACAACTGTCCAAGGTTTTGTTCCAGCAAATTATGTTAGACTCAATTAAACTATATATTCGACATCAAACAACAAACAACAAACAACAAATGTGTATTAGAAACTATCAAACAACCAGAAATCTATTTATTTATTATTTTTAAAAATAAAAATAATTTTAAAAACAAAAAAACAATAAAAAATTCTTTTTTTTTAATTAATTAATTTATGGTTAAAGAATATTTTTTAGATCTAAAAAAAAACAAAATTGAGGTTTTATATCCAAAAAAAAATCTGTAATATGTTGCAAAAATTGTGTAATTACCAAAAATTTAAAAAAGTATCTAATGCACAAAATTATCCAAACAAAAAAAAAAAAAAAACTAATAATTTATAATAGTATTAAAAAAAAATATAAAAAATGATAATTCATTTAAAAAAAAAAAGTATAAATAGTTTTAAAAAATATTTATTTTTATCAAAAAACAAAACATTTAATAATTTAATTTAAAAAAACTATTTAATTATTTATTAAAACAACAATGAAATTCTTAGCTATTTTATTACTTGCTTTATTAGCCATCTCATCTGCCTCTGCCAACTACCAATGTGGTCGTTTTGCATGTTTACCAGGCCACTCATGTATTTGTGATAAAGGTATTTTCAGATGTGTTTATGAATGTAATGATCTCCAAATCGTTCAAACCGTTGTAAACCGTTGGACTGATGGTGCTGAAGGACCAAGTGTTCAAGTTCAAGTTCAAATTATCAATCATTCAGGTGTTTCTATTAAAGATCTTGTTATGGCTTCAGCTGTCAAATTAAATGCTAACCAAATCTGGGGTGTTGACAAATGCACTTTTGACAATGGTATCACCATCATGGATTTACCAAACTACCAAAATGGTATTGCTAACGGTTCAAGTTATTCATTTGGTTATGTTGCCAAAGGTGATAAAGCTGCCCACTTATATGTTCAAAAAGTTTACCTTATGTAAATTAAAAAATTTACATATTATTTAAAATTCATATTTATTTCCAAATAAATACATAGATAAAAAATTTTAATATATTAAATTTGGTTTTTTTGTTTATACATTTAATTTTATTTTATTTATATTTTATTTAAATAGTTTTTAACAATTTCTCTAGTATTATCTGCATCTATGACTGATAAATTTCCAAAATTTGTAACTACTTCAAAGTGTGGACCTTTTACGTTCTCCTCGAGTTGCACTTTATCAAATTTTAAAACATTACGTAGATGATTAACTGCATTGACAGATTGGCGGCGATTAACCCATGTATCCTCTGGTGAATGAATTATTAACCAACTTGTATTTGATCTGTCCAATGTTGTTTCTTTAATATTTGTAGTGTCAAACCAATCGTCATTGAAAACAATTTTGATATCTTCTAAATAATTTGGGAAATCTTCGTGTAATGCTACAAAATCATAGAGACCTTGAATACCTATACAACCCTTTATGGATGTTTTAAGTTGTTTATATGTTTCATTGAATTGTTTAAAACGATTTTTATTATCTTTAATCATTTGATCTATATATAAATCCCAATTTAATGCTACAGTACTTATCATATGGCCTCCACATGAATGACCCATTAATACTATTTTACTATTTGAATACATTTCTTTACCTTTATCATCGCAATTGTTTTGAATTAACCATACTATTGACTCTATTAAATCGTAATTGTGCTCTGGATATAAAATTCTTTCGGTCTCCTTGTGTTTATCGCTTGAAAGTCTGTAGTTTATTACAGCACATGCAACATTTACTTTTTCTGCTAAATATTTTCCTAAATTGGAATATTCTTTTTTATCTCTTGCTACCCAAAATCCACCATGAATATAAATTACCAAGGTTCTATCTTTACCATTGTCATCGTTTGGATAATACAAATCTAATTGTTGCTGTTCGTTATTATTACTATTATATGAAATATTTAGTTTTTCAATGATGCTCATTATTAATTGTAGTAACTATTAATTATAAAAAAAATGAAAAAAAAACAAATTAATTAGTTTTAAAAAAATATTTAAAAATAAAAAAAATAAAAAATAAAAATAAAAAAAAAAGAAATAATTTGTAGTTCCAAAAAAAAAAAAAAAAAAAAAAAAAAAAAAAAAAAAAAATTATTTCTATAAAAACAATGATAGAAGCTATTTTTCTTTAAAAAATATAAAAAATTAAACTTACTTTTTTTGGTTTTATACAATAACCTGAGATTTAATCTATGAAAAAAAAAGAAATAAACCAAGTCAACTATTTTTCTTCCATATTAAAAACTTCATCACAAAAAACACACATCTCTTTGAATTTTTTTTTTAATTTTTTTTTTAATTTTTTTTTTGATGATGAATAATTTAAAAAAAAATAATAAAAAAAAAAAGGGTTGAAATTTTTTTTTTTTTTTTTTTTTTTTTTTTTTTATTTTTTTTCATTTTATATATATCAAAATTTTAAATTATTTTTTAAAATTACCCACATAAAAGTCGTAGTAATTTAGAAGAAGAAAGAAAATGAACAAATTAATTGCATTATTACTTGCAGTTTTAGTTTTTGTAGGTATTGTTTACGCTGATGACATCACCGTCACTGACGAAAATGTTGTTGCTGAACAAACTACTACTCCAGAAGTATCATTCTCATATATTTTCCCAGACAACCAAGATAAAAGTAATATTAAATTGAAATAGAAATAAAAATAGGAATTTAAATATATATTGTATTAAATGATGTTCATAAAAAAAAAAATAAAAATAGAAAAAAAAAAAAAAATATGATGATCATTTAAACAATATAAAACAATAGAAACAATAGAAATAATATTAACATTAATTCATTTATTTATTAATAATTAGATTTTGCTGCTGGTTCAGTTGCTGAAGTTCTTGTTGGTTTCACCAATAAGGCCGATAAAGCTTTAAACATTACCCACATTTACGCCTCATTAAACCACCCACAAGATTCATCAGTTTACATTCAAAACGTAATTATCATAATTAAAGAAAAAAATAAAAAAAACTTTACAATATACTAATTTTAAATTATATTAATTTCAAATTAAATAAATCAATAAATCAAAATAATTTTTACACGCAATTTTTCATTCAAAAATTTAAACAATTCAATCAATAACAATAAATAATACTCAAAAAACTATTTATATAGTACACCCGTGGTGATTTTGGTATCGCTGTTGAAAAAGGTCATCATGCTACTTTAGCTTATCGTTTTGTCCCATCTGAATACTTAGAACCAAGACAATTCGGTTTATTAATCAGCTTAGAATACCAAGATGGTGCTCAAAACTACACTCTCACTTTCTTCAACTCAACCATCAATATCACTGAAAAAGAAAGCTCATTCGATATGGATTCGTATGTATCACTAGCATTTTAAATTTTTGAGATTAAATATAAAGATAGAGGATGGTTATAATGAATGATAACAAACAGCAATATTAAACAACTATTCAGAAAATAACTTGGATATCGATGCAATTGATCGTTAATTTGTTTCATTGTTTTGTTCATTCATTCGGATCATTTTTAAATTTTTTATAAATTTTTTAAACCATCATATTAATCTTTTTTTTTTTTTATCTAGATTCTTCTTACTTATTCTTGGTTTCGCTGTTATGGGTGGTGTTGGTTACTTTGTTTACAGCAAAATGCCAAAACAAAAGAAAGTTCGTCGTACTGTTTCAAAATCATCATCAGTTGCTAAAGTTGAAACTGAAGCTGATACCGCTGATTGGTTATCAGGTACCTCTGCTGATAAATCAAAAAAATCAATCAAAAAAAACAAATAAATAATTTTAAATAATATGGTATATAAAAATAATTTTAAATAAAAAAATAAAAAAAATATAAAAAAATATAAAAAAAATATAAAAAAAGATTTATTTATTAAAAAGATTAATGATGTATTCGATAAATGCGCAACATCACAAAAACTAAATTTGGTTTTATTTTATTTTAGTTTTAATTTTTATTTTATATTATTATTATTATTATTTATTATTTATTTATTGATATATTAAACTATAAATTAAAATATTACAATAAATTATAAAATATATTTTTTTTAACCCGAGTGGTATGATGGAGGTGCTTTGGTAGATTGATCTGTGGATGTTTGAGCTTCACTGTTAGTTGTATCTTCTTTGACCGATTATGATAATGTATCTACATTGGTCTTTGGTTCTACTAAGAGTTGTTCTTTGTATAATTCGAGAGATAAATGACTTAGGGTTTTTTGATCTATACATATAATTCTATCATTTAATAAATAGTTAATGGTTGTATTTTTTGTCAATTAATTTGGTTTGTTACATTTTTCGTCAAAATATTTTTTTCCAAGTTTCCTACAATTGGTCTTTAATATTTTTTAGTATTGTTTCATTCGATATGTATGTATATATGTATTATATATAATAAATTAAAGGGAATAGAAATTTAAATATATAAATTTAAAAAGTAAAATTAATAAAAATATTATAAATTAAGAATTAAATTGTAAAAAAGTTTTGGTTTATTAAGGTTATAATAGTTTTTATTATTTTTAATTTAAAATAGCATTATTGTTATTTTTGTTGCTTTGATGTTGATGTTGATTTTTTGTACTGATTTTGATGTGGTAAAACTATTTGTCTTTGTTATTTTTTCCATGTTATTTTTTAGAATCATATAATGGATGAACAACATGAAGATCAAGAACAACAAGAAGATCAAGAACAACAAGATGATCAAGAACAATAAGAAGATCAAGAACAACAAGAAAACAATCAAATTATCGATGTTCTTGATCATCTTGTTGTTCTTAATCTTCATGTTGTTCTTGTACTTGTTCTTCATCTTCTTGTTGTTCTTCATTGGTTATATAGAATTGTGATATAAAAATTATTAAATGTGATTAAAAAATATGATAAAATAAAACGAATAAAATATTCAATATAAAATATGTAAATGAAAAATAAAAATATAATTTCAAATTAAAAAAAATTAATTTAAAATATTTTTTATTTAATATTTAATTTTTTTTTTTAATATCATTTTTTTTATTTTGGGTATACAAAATGTATATGAATTTTATATCTAAAATAGTTAAATTATAATAAGTTAAACACAAGTATAGTATCTTTTATAATAATTTCTATAAAAAAAAAAAAAACACATTCATTAACACATACCAAGTTTTTTAAAATAAACACTAATATTAGTTTCTAAAAAAACACAAATTATCACTACACTTACCAATTTACCCAAAATATTTATTGATATATGAAAATATAATATATTTTAATAATTAATTGTTATTTTTAACTCACTTTTATTAGAAATAAATCAAAACAAAATTCACTTCCAAAATTGCCACAATCTCAAAGAAAATAACTTTTTTGGTGCTGTTTTTATTAGAATGCTTTATATTGGTTTTGTTGTATTTTAGTTTAACATTAATTTAGAAGTATTTAATCTTCACTTTTAAAAAAATAAAAGATTCTAAATATAAAATAAAAAAATAAATTAAAAATTATTTATTTAATAAACAATTAACTTTATTTAAAATATTTTAATAAAAATTATTTAGTAACTCCTTTCATTTTAAGAACATAGCTTTCAAAGCTCTGGAAATCAATACTGCCAAGACCCTAAAATGAATTTTAAAAAAATGATTAATATTTTTCATAATGAATGGAATTGTAATTAGTTATATCTATGTCATACTGATACTGGGTCCCAACCAGCTGCACTCCAACCCATTTTGCAACAATAGCTTCTATTACATCTATTACTACCAGCTGTAATATCATTAAATGCTTGTGGATACTCTTGAGCCATTTGATAAAGAAATCTTAATGGTGATTTACCATTTGCTAAAAGTTTATCATTAATTAAAGATATTAAACCTGCTAAAACTGGTGATGAACTTGTTCCATCTACTGGTAAGTTGCTACATGGACTATATTTTTAATAAAAAAAAAAATTAATACTATTTTAATTTTCCAATATATTTTTATAATCTATAAAATTACCATTTATCTAAAACTTAATTAATAAAACAATTAAAAAATTTTTATTTTTTTTTTATTTTTTTTTAAAAAAATTAAAAAAAAAAAAAAAATTTAAAAAAAATTAAAAATAAAAAAAAACGAATGCTACTTTTTTTTTTTTTTTTGTTTGTTTAGTAAACAATTGTATTACAATAAACTATCTTTTTTAAAACAAAAATAAAATGGATACATTAGAAATCGAAGTTGTTCCAAGAGTTGATAAAGAAGATAGATTTACTATCAAACCATTAAAAGAAACTTTAGTATGTGTTTAATTTTTTATTTTTTATTATTATTTTTTTTTAATCACCACATAAAAAAAAAAAATTATATTAATGTATATTACAATGTAGTCATTCGATAAAGGTTTCTTTTTATCAGTCAAAGCTATTCAAATGTTAAGAAAGAAGAGTCAAGGCAAGGTTGTAGTCATTGGTATTGCTGGACCTTCAGGTGCCGGTAAAACAAGTTTAGCACAAAAAATTGTATCAGTATTACCAAAATCATGGTAGGTGTATTATATGTATATTTCATATGGTTTCTATTAATATTCTAATATATTTAAATTGTATAGTTTAATTTCATTGGATAATTATTTAGATAGTTCAAGACAAATTATTGAAGAGAATTATGATGATTATAGATTAGTCGATTTTGAATTATTAAGAAATAATATTAGTGATTTAATTAGTAACAAGTCTACAGATTTACCATTGTATGATTTCACAAAGAGTGGCAGATATGCATATAAAAAAGTCCAACCTCCAGAATCCAAGGTATTGTTAATCGAGGGTATCTATGCATTACATGAAGAGATCCGTCATTTATTAGATATGCGTATTTCAATTTCAGGTGGTGTTCATTTCGATTTAATTAAAAGAATTTTCAGAGACGTTCATAGAACTGGTCAACAACCACACGAATCACTTCAACAAATTACAGATACTGTTTATCCAATGTACAAAGCTTTTATCGAACCAGATCTTCAATTGGCAGAGATTCAAATCGTCAACAAGTTTAATCCATTTGGTGGCTTATTAAATCCAATTTACATTTTAAAGTCCCTCAAGAATGTCACTGTAGAACAAATTCACTCTGTTTTAAATAAATCAACTATCCAACAACATACAGCTCGTTACTATGATATCTATTTAATCCCACCAAACACTACCTTTAGTCAAACCTCTTCATGTGATTGGATTCGTGTTAGAAATTATGATGGTCAATATAGCATTATGTTTAGTGAAGAGATTAAAGAAGGTCCATTCATTATCTCACCTCGTGTAGATTTTGTTGTCGGTGTAAATATGTTGGGTGGTTTAATGTCATTAGGTTATCAAATGGTTGCTATTATTCACAGAAAGTCAACAATTTTTAAGGATGGTAAAATCATTATCTCTTATGATGAATTAGAAGAGTTGGGTCAAACATATGTTCAAATTAAAGGTTTTGATGCTAATAGTGTCCAAGATGCTGGTAAAAAGTTAGGTTTAGAAGATAATTATATTCAAAAATCTTATATCGAATTATATCAAGATAAATACAAAAAATCTTTAAATAACATAACAAATGGTATTGGTGCAATTAAAGATGAAAATAATAATAATTTATCTTTATCCACTTTTATTAACTCCAAATTATAAAAAAAAAAAAAAAAAAAAAAAAAAAAAAAAATAATTATTACTAAACATTTTAAAAATAATAGCAAAAAAAGAAAATAAATAAAATTATATATAATAATTTAATATAATATCTAGATTACTTTTTTTTATATTTAATATTTAATATTTAACATTTTATAAATATTATTTTATTTTTTATTTTTTTTTAAATAGTTTTTATTTTATTTTATTTTTTTATTGTTTATCGTTTTCTAAAATTGATAATAATAATGTTTCATCAAAGTGTTTACTAAAATTAACGTCTTCTGCTAAACCTTTTCTCTTACGGGTTTTAATTAAAAGTTCACGAGCTAGATGTGGTTGTGGACTTGGTTCTAATGGTCTAAGTTTAATTGATTTATCTAATGGATCACCAGGTACGATTTGCCAGTGGTCAAAAGTAGATAAACAAAAAGCTTGGCCTTGGGTATGAACTCTAAGGTCAGTTTCGAAACCATAGCTATCTAATACTGGTAATAGGGCTTTTGTGATGTGTAAAGGTGTACCTGGTTTAGGGAAGTCGTGAATGATATGACCACGACGACGAGTTAAAACATTTTCGATAGCGTTTAGACAATCGATTGGTGATATAACTTCAACTAAATATACTGGCTCCATAAGACGAGGTGTAGAAACAAGGAACGATGAGTGAGTAACTGAACGTGCTGCTGGAACAATGTGACCACTTGAACGTTGAATTGGCTCTGAAGCAATGGTAGCATCTAAAAGTTTGAATTTTACATTTCTAATTGGTTCATCTACCAATGGACCCTCTTTAGTTGCCCATTGGAAACCACGTACTACTGAATCTGAAATACTAAGTAATAATGAACGATTAACTTCGGTTGGAATTGTATCGTTTAAAAGAATGTTTGGACCATTCATATCTGGACCAAATGCCCAAATGGAGTTTGCTGCTAATACATCCCAATCATATTTGGTTTGGAAATATTCTGAACGTTTTTTCTTTGGCCAATCTAATTTTACGAGTCCACTTTCGATATCATCACCCAAGCCTTTCTCTAATGGTTCAGCAATCATTGTAAGACGATTCTTTTGATTTTGGGTATCTGCATAACATTTGATTGATGAAGTTTCGACAACAGTTTCATTTAAAACAATTACTGGGTCGTCGACCTTGATTTCGATTTCTGTATAAACTTCACGAAGATCGTATAATATGCAATCTAAATATAATTCACCTGTACCTAATATAATATGTTCACCTGATTCTTCTGCTTTAGTGATGGATAGTGGATAGGATTTATCGATCTTTCTAAGACCATCTAACATTTTTGGTAATTCTGATGGGTTGATTGGCTCGATTGCAACTTTACAAACTGACTTTGTAATGTGACGAAGTGGAGTGAAAATATGGGCAGCGTTTTCTTCTTCGTCGCTATTGATATCTTTTGCATCGGTGATGGTGGCTGTTTTGATGATTGATGAATCGATACCATCTAAAAGTACCCACATACCAGCTTGTGCTTTTTCAACTTGAATTTTATAACGGGCTTCACCAAAATATACACCATTAACATTTTCAGATTCCATATCTTCATCATTATCGGGCGAATATTTTTCACGAAGAATTCTAACAGATTGGGTTTGATGAATTGTACCAGACATAATACGACCTAAACAATCGAATCCTTTGCCATCGGGTTTGTTTAATAATTTTGTTACATAAACCATAAGTGGACCATTGGGATCACATTCTTTCATTGCACGACCATATTCACCATTAAGTGGACCAGTATAAATTCTAGTGGTTTTATTTTCTGCATTTTCCAATGGTGATGGTAATGCAGCCAACATATCTACAAATGCATTTGATTTACCACCAAAGAAAGTACCCATAACTACACGTAATAGTGGTCTAATATCTAGGTTGTAGGTTTCTTTTGTAAGTTTGATACCAAGTTCAGCTAAAGTATCTTCTATATTTGAACGGTCATCACTAATAACAGTTGAAATAATTTTATAAAGTGGATTGAGAATGAAATGAACGAACGTTCTAACTTGATCTGGCATTGAAGGTTTCTTTCTAAATGTACGTTCTTTAGGATTGAAATAAATATCACCCCATAATCTCTTGGAAAAATCTAATGTATTTAAACCAGTGGCACCATAAATCTCAGAGTATAATTTAGCAAACGATTGGAGACTGAAGCACCAACCCATTTCTGAACTTGCAAAAATAACATTACCCATCTCTGGTGAAACACGTAAACGTTGACTACTATGTGAACAAATATCTAAAATTGAATTAACTTCATCAATTGTATGCTTTAACTTGAAATATGCATCGATTGGAGGTAATTTTAATTCTAACATTAATCTATCGACTTTATTTATAATTACACAAATTGCTAAACCTTCTGAAACTGCATGCTTTATTAATCTTTCGGTTTGTAACATTACACCTTCCAATGCATCAATAACTACAACTCCTATATCTGAAATTGCTAAACTTGCTGTAACTTCATCTAAAAAGTTTGGATGACCTGGTGTATCTAGAATATTTATTAAATAGGATTTATCTTTTGAGTTTGGTAAAATTAATGACATTGGTGTAGATTTAATTGAAATTAATCTTTCCTGTTCATCAATTCTAGTATCAGTATATCTAATCTATTTAAATTGAAAAAAATACAATAGTTAATATTTATTTACATAAATAAAAAATAATATGTATGAAAAATTGTTATTACTTACTGGTTTAGTATTTAACCATTTTCTTTCATGAGTTTGTTGATATAACATATCCATAAAACTAGTTTTACCATGATGTAATTGGCCAACTAGAGCAACATTTCTTATAAATTGTGGATAGTTTGAAAGATCAGTAAGAAACTGTTTAGAGAAGGTTGTTTCTGGATAATCTTTTTCTTGAATTGAAACAGTTTTATTTTTTTGTGGATTAATGATTGGTTTTGATAATGGTTGTGTATCTTCATCTTGAACCATAACTTCGACACCTTTATATACATCATTTGCATCTGGATAGTATTGTTTATCTTCGTGTAATACTATGGCAGATGAGGTTGTAACTTGTCTAATGTTGTTGTCAAGATTCATTCTTTCTTCATCATCATCATTTGTTTCCTCAATATGTGGTTCATCTTGATTATATCCATTTGTTTCTTTATGATCCTCTTCTTGTTCTTGTTGTGCTTGCTGTTCGATTTCATATAATTGATCTTCATTTTCATCTAAATCTGGACCAATGTAATTACCGAATTCATCCCAAAGCTCTAAATTATCTGCCATTTTATTTTATTTTTTTTATTTATATATATAAAAAATATTTAAAAGAAAAAAAAAAAAACAAATGAATTGTTATGAATCAGAATAATAATTACAAAACTATTTATAAAAATAGTATTGATAAAAATTCACAAATGATGATAAATAAAAAAAAAAAATATATTTGAAAAAAATAAAATTGAAAAAAATGAAAAAAAATTTAAAAAAATATTTTTTTTTTTTTTTTTTTTTTTTTTTTCATAATTTAATTTTTCATTGCCTAATTAATTAATTACTATTATAACTTTAAAATATTGTTATTAGCATTTATATTGATATTTATATTGAGATATTGGAATTGTGTAATTGTTATATATTATGGATCAAGTAAAAGCACAAGAGTTAAATGCGAAATATGGCACATTATTATGTTTGGATGTTCCCGAGGGTTCAACTATTGGCATAGATAATAAGATTTGGACATCAGGACCAATGTTTAAAGGTGTTAAAATGATACCACCGGGTGTACACATGTTTCATTGCACTGCCTCAAACGAATATGGCGATAGTATAATGGTATCAAGCAGTTTTATTTGGGTAAAAGAGATTCAACATAATGATAACCAAGTAGATATGGAAGAACGATTAAAACCAAGCGGTCAAGTTTTTATAAAGAGATGGAATGCTGAGAATGAAGATTTTTATCCAAATAATGAAATTAGTGAACAAGAAAAAGATTCCTTTACATTGGGTGTTAGAAATTTCGAATTTGATAAAAATTTAGCACCATATCCATTCGATGGCAGCGAAATTCAATGGAAACGATTAACATCACACATCACAGAGAAGCTTTTAAAAAAAATACTTCCAATATCAGGTATAATCAATGGTGACTCTTGCTCATATGATCAACAAAAATCAAATGACTCTTCAAGAAAAGAGAAACAATTATTGGATGATTTAGATGTAAAACTAAAAGAATTCAATGAAAAAAGAAATATAAATAAAAAAAATATCAATAGTAACAATAATAATAATAATAATAATGGTAACAATAGTATTTCAAATTGGGGTATACCATACTTTTCAAAAATACCAAAGAATCCAAAACTACTCGATAAAGAATCTTTAAACAATACAGTTTCAATTTCAAATCTAACAAAATGGAATTTAGATAAATCCCAAGCACTAGAATATATGTTAAACAAATATTATAAAAATGATGAAATGGAAATTTTAGGTGAAATAGAATTTAGTTTTGTGCTATTTGTATTTGGCATGGCATGGCTGGGTTTCCAACAATGGAAAGATTTAACCACACTATTTTTACAATGCGACGAGATGGTAATCAAAAGACCGCTATTATTCACAGAGTTTTTTAAAGTTTTAAAAAATCAATTAGAAGAAGCACCAGAGGATATGTTCCAATCTGATATTTCAAATAGAGTCTTCATCAAGCCATTACTAAAGCAATTTATTGAAGCATGTTATAACCCAGAAACTACAAATTTAGAAACTATGGATCAGGTTCAACTAAACTTATTTAAAACTATTATGGATTTAAAGAACTTTATTGAAAATAAATTTAAATGGAACTTAAATTTATTCACTGAAATTAATATAGAAGATGACAATAAGGGCTATGGTATAAAGAAGGCACCAACATCATCAAACGAAAAAAATAAAAATGAAGATGACAACGACGAAGATGACGAAGACTATAACAATCAAATGCAAAATGCAAAATCTGCATATATTAACAATCAGGGCAATTTAGATTTCAACAATGAAGACTATGACGAAGAAGATGACGAATATAAGCCAGTATTGGTTTTAGACTCTGATATGGATCATTATTTATAACATAATATAAAATAAATAAAATAAAAATTTGTAAATAAAATAAAGTATATTTTATGAAGTGTTCCATTTTAAAAAAACTTTTATTTCCATTTCTTTAATTCGCATAAGCTATTGCAAGAAAAGATATTAAAGCCGGCACACCCATATCCTCTTGGGTTAATAGAGCAATTATTTCCTGTATTTGAACAGTCATCCTTGCACCCAAGAATTTCACAGCCTGTCATGCACGAAGAGTGAGTTTGATCACATTGTTTATAGTCAGCATTTTTATTACTGTAGCAACTGTCATAATCTGAGTTACAATTACGTTGACAACGGGAATAGTCTATGGACCAAGAGTTAACAAGTTGTAATAATGATAACACTGTAAAAATCAATATTGCTATTTTTATCATTTCTTTTGTTTATAAATATAAAATAAAAATTTAAGTTATTTATATTGTGTGAATTTTTTTACTGAAATGAAAAAAAAATTAAAAAAAAATAAAATAAAATAAAATACAAAAAACAAATACTTTAAGAGATAAAATAATCCAATTACAACTTAAAAATTTTTTATAAATAATTTTTTTTTTTTTTTAATTTGAAATTATAGGAGGAATAAACAAAAGAAAAAGAGAAAAAAATATTTTATATATTAAAAATTTGATTTTATTTTATTAAATATTATATTTTTTTATGCGTTAAAATTTTAAAATGAATTAATAAATTATTCATAAAATATATACTATTGCTTATTTCTATTATATATTTATATTATAATACATAACATTGTTGTTGTTGTGTTATATCGGATTTTTTTTTTTTTTTTTTTTTAACTGTACAAATTTATTATACATTAAAATTATAATGTATATCGAACTATTATTACTATATTATTATTATAATTAAGTTTTATATTTATATATGGTGATTAAGTTTGAATTGTTCTTGAATATAAACTTCTAGTATATTCAATCTCTTTAATAATTTCGTCAATCCAAAAATCCAAGTCCTATAAATATAGAAAAAAAAAAATTGTTAGTCACTCCACATAAATAATGTAAATATATAGTTTTAAAACTTACATCTACATCCTTGGCTTGTAATAAAAACACTTTTCTCATTGTTGTTGCAAATAATTCAAAAGTATTTGGCCTATCATGAAAAGGCTTTTTTGAAACTCTTGAACCTCTTAGGGGTACTCTATCTATTGGTTCAGGCTCTTCTTTACTCTTAAAATATAATAAATATCCATTTTCTATTTTAAACCATCTTGTTCGCCAACTTGGAAATATATGACCACGCTTAACCAATTCACCCTCTATAACTTTTCTCTTTTGCTGCTGTTGTAGTTTAGCTTGGCCTCCTGGAGATACCAATGCACCTAAATTCGAAAATGATGATGATGATGATGCACTAAATACACCAGATGACCTAATACTTGGTGATGATGGTAATGAATCGATTTCTGATAAAGTATCATTACTTGTATTTTCATTACTGCTGATGTTACTGTTGCTATTATTATCTTTATTATTAATACTGTCGGTTGTATATTCACTATTTACATTGCTATCATTCCCATCAATATTATTATTTTTTAAAATTTCCATTTGTTTATTTAATTCACTTTTTGTATTGGTGGTACTATTATTATAACTATTATTAATATCCTCTTGCTCTTGTTTTTCTTTTAATTCCTTTTGTTCCTCTAATGAAAGATTCTCCAAACCACTTTCCATTTTTTCTTTCTCCTCTTTTCTTTATTTTATGATAATTAATTTTATATAAAATAAAAAACAAAACAAAAACAAAAACTATTATTAATAAATACTACACTTTTTAAAAAAATAATTAAAAAATTAAAAAATATTTAACAATTTTTAATTATTATAAAAATTAAAAAAAAAAAAATTTAAAAAAAAATAAATATTTAAATTATAATTATAATAAAATTAAAAAAATATTATTTATTATTGAATATATATGTAAAATAAGATTTTTATAATAAATTTTTTTTTTATTGTTTTTTGTTGTGTTGTTTTATTGGTGTAAAATTACTAATTTTGGAAAAATTAAAATATTAAATTTATTAAAAAAAAATGAAAAAAAAATAAAATAATAAATTTATCGAAAGTAGAGTGTTTAATTTTAATGAAATTTAACACAAAGTGGGTGAATATATGTTTATATAAATATAATCTATCTTTTAAATGAATTATATATTATAATATTATTTGTTTAATTAATGTGGTAAAAAAAAGTAGAAAGGCTGGTGTGGAACGAAAAAAAATAAAAAATAAAAAAAAAAAAACAAAAAATAAAAAAAAATAAAAAAAATAAAATAAAATTTTGGAAAAAAATATATTATCCAGAAACCCCAAAAAAATAAGAAAAATAGTGATGTCAAAAATTCGAGTTTTTATCCAATTTTAAAAAAAAAAAGAATCTTTTTAAACAAAAAAAAATATTAAATTAAATATCTTTGTTGTGAATTATAAAAACAAAAAAAAAAGTGGGGTTAAATTATTAAGTGTATTAAAAAAACACACAAAAACAAACTAATTAATATGAGAAAAAAATAAAATAATTTATATATAGATTTAAACTCATTATTATAATAAAAATACATTAATTTCCCAATAATATTAACTATTTATAATTGAAAATCTAAGATGAGAAAAAAATAAAAATTTAAACTCTATTATAATAAAAATACATTATTTTGTTTATTTTCTTTCTTTTAATAAAACTTCATAATTTTCTAATTGTTTCATGAAACCCTGGTTTGGTTTACATTGAGGTCTTGATGATTTAACTATTTCTAATGATTCTGATAAAGCTATATTAAATTTATACATTAAATAGGCAATTATTATTGTACATGATCTACTAATACCTGCATTACAATGACACAATAAACCAACTTCATTTTTCATTTGATTATCGATAAATTTAAAACATTTTTCGAAATGATCAATAATATTAAATGATACATCATCTAAAATTTCACAATTAAAATAATCAATAACCAAACCTTGTTCATTATTATTATTATTGTTGTTGTTGTTGTTTTTGTTTTTGTTGCTATTTTCTTTAGTAAATAAATTTTCTATACCAAAACCTACATTCAAAATTGATTTTATATTTTTTGAAATTAAATCATCCTTATTAACAGCACAATCCTGAGAACCAATATAAAGATTATAGCTTTTTATTGAGATATCCACATTTCTTTTTAAAACTTCATCTGGTATTATTATTTTTAGTGAGATTTGATCAGGTGTAGTATCTACAACAAAACCATTTGTTGATTTGATTTCTATTGGTTTTGATTCAACATTGTTCAAATCAACTTGATATCTTTTCCCACTGACATCAGTTATTGTAGTTTTTTGAACTTTGTTCATGCTCTTTTTTTTAGATAAAAGTTCATCCAAGTTAATCATTATTATATATATTTTTGATAAATTAAAATAAAAGAAAAATAAATAAAAAAAACTGTAAAAATTTTTTTTTTTTTTTTTTTTTTTTTTTCCCATATTTTTGATGATTTTGAATAAATTGGAATTTTTTTTAATTTTTTTTTTACATTATTAAAAAAAATTTTTTT